AATTCATTGCATGTACAAGACGATGTTGTCTTTAATCGCTGACTATTTATTACAAATATCGAAGCCCAATAAATTCTTGGATTATCCACTGCCCAAGTTTTTTTTCTGTGGATTTTATCAACATATACATCAAACGCTCACTAACGCTGGGAGATTGGCTATCTTCGCATGCTACCTTTTTATTTACTCGAGCAGACATCACTAATCGTTGGGTTGCTGGTTAGGGAAACATAGGCGTACGAGCTGGGGGGGCTGGGCGGGGGGGGGCGGCTGGCCCCCCATTTTGGGCACCAAATGCTGGGAAAATTTGGGCACACAATTGCATTTTGTAAAAGTTGTATAAAAAAAGATATTGTGTTCTTGAATGTGTCCAATTTAACAGCGAATTTATTATTATTATGTAACATATTAAGAACCTAACTACATTTTTTGGGCACCAACCACCACCGCCCCCCCAGTCAAAAATTTCCCCGTACGCCTATGTAGGGTAACCCTTAAATTTCTGCCCTGTATGCACTCCATGGGTCTTTTTCATGGAATCCCGTATTTTTCTTGTAAGATCAGGTGTCTCTACTTTCCATATATACCAAAATTGCCATACTTTTATTGGAAATAAACGCCCGATAAATACTTTCCTGGAAAAGTATCTTTAAATATAGATCAGCCCAATATACATATATTCTGTGGGGTGGGTTGTCATAGCCAATCGAATGATCTAGTTAGATTGATTTTTCCCCAATCATAGATCAGTTAATTTCTATATTGATATTATAAGATTACAAAGACTTAGATTTATGAATGAATAGGCTAGACTAGTCGAGCGAGCGGAGGTTTTTTATCTTGATATTTCATTGACTATCACAAGCTAGGTCTTATCATGGTTATTAATAATACTTGTGTAATAACATTGTATGTTTTATGTATGTGTCTATGATAAAAGTATGTAAGATGTATTGTAATAGATGGGTGGGCCAGAAGCTAGGGTATAGTATAACACCCTACTTAACAACTGTATCAGTCAAACCCATCTCCTTCTAGTATGTAATTTAACAAATATAGAAAAAATATGTTTCAAGTTTTTAGAGACCTGTCACAAAGTAAGCCTAAAAACACCTGATGTGATCTACATGTATTTGTTGTCTTTACTTACACAAGGACAGATTTTTAATATGGTCATGTTACCATAGTTTTAATTTGTTACATTGTCAAAATATTTGGCCATAACAGTTGCTACATGTATGTCTTTTTAAGGGTTGTCAGTTAAACATAAGTTTAAAGTCTAATTCTTTTCTAATACAACTGTTAAGGGTGGTGAACATACCCCAATAGAAGTCCAAAGTCTAATTCTTTTCCATTACCAATTTTAAGGGTTGTGGGCCATAGGTGTATTAGCCTAGATAGATGTTAGGTGGCCAGAAACCTCAGAGCTTACAGTGTAGGGGCTTCCCCAAGTAAGTTTGGAAAACTTGATGGCCACAAACGCGTTTTCCTGCTATTCCAGCCCATGAATACAGCAACTTCAATGTGGTCAAATATAGCCTAAATGAATTGAAAACAACCGATCAATCGTTTAGTCCACGGAGCAGTGGCTGGCAAAGCAGGTCGTCACAGGGTATGGGGAACTTGCCTTCCCCAAGAATATTTTGAGAATTGAACTGCCGCAGTGCGTTTTTCTGCTATTCTAGCTCGTGAATCAAGCAACCTCGAAGTTGTCCAGTGGTTTTGCAACCGAAATCCCACTCTATGTCGACTTCAATTCCAATCATGAAATCAGACTGTTGGAGCTGCATTTACAAGTAATAATTGATGCCTGACAAATGTCACACTTTATTTTGCCAACTAGATGATATTTTGCCAAGCAGAGTGGCCCCAGACCATAACCATATAGTCAATCCAGTACAATTTCCAGGCATGGATTTAAAAGTGTGGTGGGAAGGGGTTGGCCTAAGTAAGTGCCCCTGCGAGACAAAGTAATGAAATGAAATGGAGTTTAACGTCCTACAGGGCTAATGAAGATGGTCAAACACCATGCATTGTGCTATTAGGAAAATTTTGCCAGGATAGAGGTGCTACTTCCTATACTGTTACGGGCTCGTCGGAACAAAATTCATGTTTGGGTTGAGGGGTCAAAGCCAAAATGGGGTTCTGGGGATTTTTTCACAAATAAACACATATTTGCAAGTTCCGAAGGCCCTGTGTTCTATTCTGTCGTATTCCAACTGTCAAGTGTTCTTTTATGTACATGACCATATGTTTTTTTGTACCATACATGTACATGTAAATAGGATTATCTTTGGAATTAATGTAAGGTTTTAAGGGCGTTAATATTTAAACTTTTAAAATATTTATCTTGCAAATATATATTTTGTAATCCTAACATATTCTTTATAAATTAGGATGGACAAGAGAGATTTTTTAATTATTTAACTCTATTTGATGAATGATTCATGTAAATCGTGATAACGCCAAACTTTAAAACTATTTTAACTATTCATCTCCTTCATAATACACCTGCTTAAATTAGAGCTAGGTGTTATGTTCTCGAAAATCATAAAATACGGGACTTTGCAACCTGTTAACAATAAAAAGCTGAATTTTACCGTTACATGAAACATGAGAACGTTTATAAGAAGATAATAAGATACTTGTTAAGGAATTTGGGATATTTTGGGTTGAATACACGACCAGTAGGGTATCTTGAAAATATGTTGAGTTAGAATATAAGATGAATAAATTTTGTGATGTCAATAGATACACATGGGTGGAGAAATAAGATAGAATATATATTTTTTTTTTCGGACAAGATGTTATTGGAGTTTTTTTTTTAAGATGATATCATGTTATTGGCTAAAGGCGGTGTTGCTGTGAAGTTTATTTCTAGCTTCGTTTGCAGACAAACATCTGTATGATAAAGAGCATGCTATATATATGTTTGTCAATTAAAGATGCATTATGTAAGATTTAGATAAACAGCTGGATGATCTTGCTATAATAGTTCAAATATAGATAATGAAAAATGAATATTTTGAGCATTTTAGTCAAATTTCTTTATTCTGAGCTAAGTTTCGACAAGAAGTAGTATAAATAGTCTTAATTGTTAAGTATCATTGCTACGATAATAAATGAAGTGTCGATTTTCCATTTTAACTTTTAACCAAGACATTGTCTAATCCACTTAATATCTCAGCCATTTGATGGTCTAGACTGTTAATAGTTGATTATTGGCTTGTTATGTGAATAAATGTACATGTATATTGTTGTCTGGAGGTGTAAGTTTCTCTTTTTAAAGTTATATAATGATAATTACAGGTATCGTTTTGGAAGGTCAAAGTCTATATATAGGTAATAATTGTACCATAATTACAGGTATCTTAGAATAAGGCCAAGGTCTATACGGTATATGTAACAAGATGAAAATAGGTAATAATTGTATGTAATTACCTGTTTAAACAGAGTAGGCTACACTCATATGAGTTCCAATTCTTAACCTTTTGACATCCAATAAATAGCGAGGAAACATTAATATTTTACATCAGATGGAGCATTTAAAGTTAGGTATAAGATATTTTGCCTAAATTTGACTGTAAAATTGTTCTCTGTTGAGAATTATAAATTATTATAGATATGAAAATTGAAATATATATTTTTTTTGTTCTGTGGAGAATCAGTGCAAATTTCGTAATACCTCTTTGAACTTTATTTAATAATTATCCTTTAATTTTTCCTTAGTTAATAAATCCACAGATAAAATAGTGTGTAGATAACAAAGATCTTATTTTTTATGTTATTTATCTGTCCGATATGTGGGTCGAAAGTCAGACGAACATTATCATAATCAGTCAAGCTTATCCACAATGTTTGTTTAAGTTTGTTATTTAAGAAGAGAATAGGCTTCTCGTTGTTCACCTTACCTGCTGTGTCTATTGTCCCATCTGTCATATAAATATTTCTGTGCGAAAAACTGCTGATTCACGTTATTTGACATAAAATCACATTAACTTGGCTCACTAAAAAATATAAAAACTAATGAGATTTTTATTTTAGGGGAAATTTTGTTTGTGAACTCATTCAGCTAGTTTTAAATGAATTCATTGTCAGATTGTTGAAAGTTGTTGACATATCTAAGGAGACTTAAATTAATGAAGGATCAGAATGTCTACATACACACACAGCACCTGTCTTGTCTCTGTTATCTTATTTGCTTAAAACATTAAATTTTGTTTGTCTTTTTTGCTATTTATATATACGTACGTATATTTATGCAGTGACGCATAAATGACAGAGAAAGGTGCCATCGGCTTGTTGTCTTAAGGTTTGTTTCAACATCCTGTACGCAATTTATTTCACTGAATTAATCACTTTTGAGTTTCTGTGAAATTTATTTCCACAGAAACTTAAAAGTGATTAATTCAGAGAAATTTCTAATAGGTTGATGTGCGTGCAATGTTTCATAATGATGGCTTGAAAAGTTTTGAGATATGCTCCGGAAAACAAAATGAGGACATATGAATGTTGCCCTTTTAATTATTCCTGCCTTAACATCGTTAAGTCATAATATAAAAATTAAAACCCTACTAAAAAGGAAGAAATAGTGACTATATAAAACTAAACACATGTACTTTAATAGAGAATAAAAGTAAGATATCGCTTTCCATGTGGACACTCTGGAAGTCACAATTTTTATCTGAATTTGACAGAACTTTAAATATATGTTTATATTCTAAAGATCTTGGATGGTTTCATCAGCAATTTCTTGCAATGTGATGCAGGCTAGAGTTCTTCAACGATTTTTGACAAATTTGATCTAAAGCATTGGGAATGACAGGATGAACCCTATTGATTTTCATAGGCAATTACTGATATTGATATATGTATGACGTACATACATGTATATAACTGTATATCAGCTTATTTGGAACTGATTTTTATATTCGACTTTGGTCTCAAACTGAAATATATAACAAAATGAATTCAAATATTATTTTTTCTTGTATTTTCAGTTAGAGGAAGAAAACAAGTCAATAGAAGATCCTTTAATTAAAAAATGTAAACAAAGTCAAGATTGTAGATGGGTAAGAATATTACTTCAAATATTTATAGAATAACGGGGTTAAATTCACATACATGCATCTATTGTAGAACTCTTGATTGAGAACCGCTGTGGCTCAGTGAGTAAGACACTGGCTCTCTAACCAGGAGGTCTCTGGTTCACTTACAGTATTGACTGAGAAATTTGCTCAGGATTCCTGGCATGGGTTACTCTTGTCAGCGGTGCAGGACGTAGGGTCTGGCAAGAACAGTGTCTAGTCGTTCGGATAGGAAGAAAAACCAAGGCCCTGCATACACATTGATGGTTGAAATTCTAAATAAGAGTAGGACGTAGTGCAAAATTTCCCTTGGTGCAGAAAAGTAGCATGTTACACGATTTCATTCATTTGTAAACTAAAGGTCATAACCTGACTCATACATGTAGTATGTTAGACTGCTCATAGTATAGGTCTAACATGTTTATTATTAAATGCAAAATTGTTGATCTACCTCCTTAAGGCTTCATTTGATCTTTTTAAAAAGTTCTTACTAACCATATTATTATAATGAATGTATCTTTAGTGCAGTAGTAGTAGAAAGTACAATGTAATGTTATGAATTATGATTTCTTACAGTGTTTACATATTTGTGATAGAAGGGATGCTGAATATTATACAAATTTACAACACTGTAAATCTTATTGTCAGGTAAGTCTATTACATGTCATCAATTCAAAATTGAGATACAGGGGTTTTGAGGGAGCCATGGTGGCTCAGTGGGTAAGATGTTAGATCTTGAGAAAGTCCCCCCTTTTCAGTGGTGCAGAACAAAGGGCCTGGCAAGGGCCAAAGTACATGTATAGTCGTTCGGATGATACGAAAAAAACAAGGTCATGTGTACACATTCGCATGCACGTTAAAAGAACTCTAGACAAATAGAATTCAAATTAAAAGTAGACTGTAGCGATGCTGTCCGGGCTAAATTTTCTTCATAGCAAACTGTATGGTGTATGCCTGTCTGGGGGTTGGATGGCCGAATGGTTAGTGTGTGCGCGCTGCATCATAAGGTCTGTCATTGAGTCAACTGCCGTGGTTACGATTCCTCTGTTGTATGTGACAATTAGTTGGGTCGTCTGTCTAACCTCGTGGGTTTTCTCCGGGTCCTCCAGTTTCCTCCTACTGCTAAAGACCCCTACGTGTAAGCGAATTATTGAAATAAAATTAAATCATATGTTGGTCCCGAAATGACCAAGTTTGTGTCGAGTGGAGGTTAAACTCCATTTCTCTTTCTCTCTGTATGCCTATTCTGTGCAAAAAAGTAGGATGTTAAACACCATTTCATTTCATTCGGTATTTCATAATACGTCATCAATTCAAAACTTAGTTACATGTGCTTGTGTAAATAACATTATAATCACAAGAAGATAAGAAAATAAACAAAAAATCTGAGTAGATTTCAAGAATAAGTGAATAAACCTAGTGCTTGAAGTTTTCTGTATTTAGTTAAATAATAATTATGTATAATTTGATTTTACAGTTTTGTTTAGAAAGTTGGTGTCGTAAAGATGGTGAACTGCAAACATCTGACAGCTGTGGTAAAACCTGTGGATTTGTTCGTAGAGCAGCTGAAACTAAAGCTGGATCATGTAAAACTGTAACGAACAATAAGGCTTTAATACCTTCATGTGTGCAAGAATGTAAAAAAGATTCAAATTGTGGCAGAAATAAAAAATGCTGTCAACATGGCTGCAGTGCTACTTGTGAAAAGCCAATGGACATTGACAGTAAGTATATCGTCTATAGACTTTTTTTAAAACGGAAAATATATTTAGCATGGGTTTGTGATACAGCCCAACAAAGTACTGCTCATCTGAACAAATTATAAAGTCGATTGTGACTTATCAAGGTAACTGTAGGTCAGTGTTTATAAACAAAGCCATGTGCTCCGTGCAACATGTGGCTATATGTTTACATAGGATAGCATGTATAAAGCTGATAATGTCAAGCAGACTTAATAATTTGTTAATTAAAGATGAAATGGTTTGTTCTTCTGGTAGTGCTTGGTGGAAACTCTTTCAATATTAAATAATGAATAAGATATACTGTGTAAAAACAGCAATAGAAGGACTTCTCCTTGAGCAATATGAACCTCTTTGCAAAGGTTATGGAAAATATAGGATTTAAGCGTTTACAAGCTTTTCGAGTGCTTTGTGAAGTGGGGCCCATGTGTCCTAGCAAGAGTGTCCTTGTTTTATGTGTAGTGCAGTCCTCCTGTACTTACTTATACACTCCCTTGTGCATGACACCTATCGGTACTTAGAGCATTTTTCTTAGGTTTTGTCCTGATACATATTGCTCAATAATTTGTCTTTAGTGACCGAGGCTCAAATAATTTTAATATTTCAACTAGAAAACCAACATCAATGAATTTTTTACAATTTATTAAATGATATTTTCAGTTTTGCCACCAAAACCAGATAAAATTACGATAAAAGATAATGAAGATAAAGGTATTATTGTCAGTTGGTTACAGGGTAAAAACGATGAAGGACGTGAAAGAATTGATCCTGAGTTTTATCTTCTACAATACTGGCTAAGGTCATCACCTGTTGGAAGAGAACAATTAATTGTAAGTTCTCAGTCATAAATTTCTGTATTCCTTATAGTTTTGTTTTTTTTATTTGAAAAAGTATCAATATTTTCAATGAAAACTGCCCCACATATCTTTTTCTCCACTTATTATCCTCTCTGCCTCCTGCCAAAATATCCTGCAATAAAGCCTATTAGTATTATTCTCTCTGCCTCCTGCCAAAATACCCTGCAATAAAGCCATGCACAGTTAATATATCATGATGTTTATCATGCTTTGAAAACAAATTCAAAATTTTAAATTATAGTTCTGTGGGATCTCAGTGGAGGTTCCAGGTTTGATACTGGTGTGGTTTCCCCTTGTCAGATGAAGGATGGAGGGCTTGGCAAGGAACAGTGTCAAGTCCTTCGGATGGGAAGGAAAACCGACAGTTGAAACTTCATAAAAATTCCATCACTGCACACTTCTTGGCGTATATGTCCATCTTCGTTAGTCCGATAGGAGCAGAAAAGTAGGCCATTTGTTATTTTAAATTTCTTTAATGAGTTATTAAAAATATTATAACTTATTTTATAGACATCAACAACAGAATATAGTATAAATTTACCTCTACACAGTTTCCATCCAGGAGCAAGTTTGAAATTCCGTGTAGCAGCAATCAATATTCATGGTTCCCGTGGTTATTCTAATGCAACTGTTTATACAAAGTGTAAGTATTATCTACATATCTTATACACCATTGAAACATGGTCTTAAAATACCAGGACAACATGGCTTCAGTAGATTGAAGAATTTTACCACACACACATTATCGGTGATCAGTATAGTGCTTACTACCAGGGTGATGTTAGGTGGTTGAATGATTTAACACATTAACTTTAGATCATAAGGTCTGTCTTTAAGTCATGTGGTGCATGGATTTGCTTACCGGCTTGTATGTGACAACAGATAGGGTCGCTTGTCCAACCTTGTGGGTTTTCTCCTGGTCTTACAGTTTCCAGCCATTGCTAAAGACCCGTACACGCAAGCAAATTATTGAAATAAAACTGAACCATATGTTAGCCCCAAAGCGACCCAGGTTGTGTCGTGGATTTTAAACCTCATTTTGTTGCCAGAAATTCCATGTTACTTGTACCAAAGCCACACTTAACTGAATTTCGATTCAAAATCCAATAAAACATGCATCTATTCATTTTTATTGCAAGTTCTTGCTCATTGAATTTGTTTTACAGTACTGTTGGAGCCACCAAAACCTGAGAATTTAAAAGTTGAAAGAAGTGTATATACTAATAATAAAGTGGATTTAACTATCACATGGCAGCCACCTAGATTACCTTATAGGGTAGCAGTGAAAAGATTCTTGGTAAGAATTAACATTATCATTTATGGCGATGAATTAAATATTACTTTTCTCCTGTAAAAATTTCACGAACATATTTGTTTGTGGGATTTTTCTGTAACTGTAAACAAGGAATTCAGGGCTTTGAAGTATTGAAAGGAAATACCCAGTACATCTGAAAGCTAACTTGACTATAATATTATTAAGTTCACTTTATTTATGTCTGTTACAGGTTTTATGGGTTTTAATACCTAAGACATCTACCTCGTATGTACGACAAAATTATAGCCGAAAGTCAGTTCCTGCAGTAAGTAGAAATTTGTTAATTGACCACTTTTTTATACACCCACATTTGCATGTGGACGTATATTGTTGTCAGTCTGTCCGTCCACAGTTTGTTTGTGGACACTCTACAGGTCATAATTTTCATCAGATTTTGACAAAACTTGAAATATAAATTTATCTCCCAATTAAAGGACTGAACTGCCTGACAAAATGGCTGCTCCTTGTGCATAAATAGTTTTAAAGTATGGAATTTCAAAGTTGTGGACCCTTGAAAGGTCACAATTTGTATCCGATTTTGATGAAACTTAAAATGTGACTTGTGCATATCGGACGGTAACTTCTGGATTAAGTCCCCTGATTGTACAAAATTTCTTAGCTTGTTCTCTGTCTCTCTGTGGGCATATCGTCCATGGTAACTGCTTATTGGTTATAAAGACAGTTTATTAAGGTTGCCATAGAGTCCTTGTATTCTGTATGTTACCACCTCCTCCTCAGTACAAACTATTAGCCACTAGCAGGATACCTGGCTTCGCTCGGGGGTCATAACTCCGAAACCGGAAGTGGTAGACTAACGCCACTTGGCCTATGTTACTCCCGGTCCGAGCTACCCCTATACCCCAAATTTCAGACTCGGGGCCAACCCCGAACAGACCGGCTTCGCTCGGGGGTCATAACCCCGAAACCGGAAGTGGTAGACTAACGCCACCTGGCCTATGTTACTCCCCGGTCCGAGCTACGCCTATACCCCAAATTTCAGACTCGGGGCAGACCTAGTGTAGCCGCCAACCCCGAACAGACAGACAGACAGATACCCGGCTTCGCTCGGGGGTCATAACTACGAAACCGGAAGTGGTAAACTAACGCCACCTGGCCTATGTTACTCCCCAGTCCGAGCTACCCCTATACCCCAAATTTCAGACTCGGGGCAGACCTAGTGTAGCCGCCAACCCCGAACATACAGACAGATACCCGGCTTCGCTCGGGGGTCATAACTACGAAACCGGAAGTGGTAAACTAACGCCACCTGGCCTATGTTACTCCCCAGTCCGAGCTACCCCTATACCCCAAATTTCAGACTCGGGGCAGACCTAGTGTAGCCGCCAACCCCAAACAGACCAGCTTCGCTCCAGGGTCATAACTCCGAAACCGGAAGTGGTAGACTAACGCCACCTGGCCTTAACCATATTGTTCGACATGTTCTACTAGAATATGCTTTGTTTCTAGAACTATTGATGTTCTTTGTTTCGAGAACTATTGTTGTTCTTTGTTTCAAGAACTATTGTTGTTCTTTGTTTCAGGAACTATTGTTGTTCTTTGTTTCGAGAACTATTGCTGTTCTTTAAATTTAATGAATTGTTGTTCTTTGCTAATACAGCATATAATTATTAATAAAATTCTCAAACTTGGTGGGATTATTCATAAAGCATAGGGAGGGAGTAGGAACACTATCTAAATATAAATTACTTGCTCACCGTCTACATTTATTTTTCTCTAGGATATTAATCGTTTTAAGATACCAAAGTTGGAGCCAGGAACTCAGTATTTGATTACTGTCAAAGCTGTAGTAGCCTTAAATGGAAATCAGAGAGTAGGGAGACCAGCATCACTCTCTATAGAAACTTACTCACCCCCTCAGCCAGCGAATTCCGGTAAGATTTTAAAGCTTCTATTGACATAGCATCAAACAATTTCACTAAACACTGACTTCAAAGTAGTTTGAGTCATTATTACTCACAAATCATGAAGGTAGTTTAAATTAATGGAACAGTTAGTACAGCATGTGTGAGAGAGAGAGAGAGAGAGAGAGAGAGGGTTTAACCTCCACTTGACACAAACTAGGTCATTTCGAGACTAACATGTGGTTTAATTTTATTTCAATAATTCGGCTTGCGCGTAGGGGTCTTTAGCAGTGGGAGGAAACCGGAGGACCCGGAGAAAACCCACGAGGTATGACAGGCGACTCTACTCCTTGTCACGTACAATCGGGGAATTGAAACCACATCAGTTGACTCAATGACAGACCTTATGATGCAGCGCGCACATGCTAACCAGTAGTTTATTTCAGTGACATGTGTTATACAAAGAAGACATGTGAAAATCAATATAAAAATACCCAGTGGACCTATATGTCATTATTTAACATACACAAATTTTTTAGATTCTGTCTGTCATGCAAACTATGTTGATTGCATTGGTCTGGATACATTGTTGACATTTTGAAACATGCTTTTCTGCGGAGGTATCCCTGCCTATCACTCTTTTATTTGAGTAACAATAAATGATAAAACAAAATTGTATGGTTAACGTCAATTTCAGCATATCTAATAAATATTTAGAATTTTCATCAAACAGCCATACAAAATTTGATTTAGACCAATCAGATCCTGCTTTAGTTTAAACAATTGCTTGAAAAATCTGCTTCTTGTGGTTGCAATAAAGAAGCCAATATGCTAAGAACAGGTGCAGTCCATATAGGTGATCTGGATGTATTGAATGATTGACTCTAGCTAATTCTTGTGCTTAAAGCTTCTAAAATTATAGCATTTATATTTTATAGATAGTGGGGTAATCTGGAATCATGCAGGTGGAGATGTTTATAACATTAGTGTGCTGGAATCTTTCTATCACAATGGAATAATTAAAGCAGCAGTCACATGGAAGTCTACAATATCTGCCGAAAAATATATGATATATTGGAAAGCGGAAAATTGTCAGCAACCTTCTTCTCCTAGTCATTTTCAAGAGAAATCAGCCACAAGTCATAGTCAAGAGTTTAATTTATATAATCTACAGTATGGATGCGATTATGTTGTTAGAATTCATGCCGTTGATATTAAAGCTATTATGGGACCTGGAGCCGTCACCAGTTTTAAAACTCCCATCTGTTCTGAAATAAAAGTTAAAGGACACAGTTCCCATTCTTGCCCAAATCAAGGTAGGTGATATTTATAAAAACTAAATTTTTCATTTGATACAGTGTTTACAATAATGCAAAAGTTATAAATCGTGTACCGGGTATGTCAGTTGAATAACTGTAATAAATCGTGTACCGAGTATTTCACTTGAATAACTAGTATAAATCGTGCATTTCAGATGAATAACTAGTATAAATCGTGTATTTCAGATGAATAACTAGTATAAATCGTGCATTTCAGATGAATAACTTTTATAAATCGTGCATTTCAGTTTAATCATTTTTAAAAATCGTGCATTTCAGTTAAATAACTTTTATAAATTGTGCATTTCAGTTTAATAACTTTTATAAATTGTGGATTTCAGTTTAATAACTTTTATAAATTGTGCATTTCAGTTTAATAACTTTTATAAATCGTGCATTTCAGTTTAATAACTTTTATAAATTGTGCATTTCAGTTAAATAACTTTTATAAATCGTGCATTTCAGTTTAATAAATTTTTTAAATTGTGCATTTCAGATGAATGACTTTTATAAATCATGTATTTCATTTGAAAAATCTTTATGAATCGTGTATTTCAGTTGAATAACTGTTATAAAAAGTGTATTTTAGATGAATATGGATGAATATCTATTATAAATTGTGTATTTCAGTATCTTCAAAACTAGAACCACCACATGGTATAAAAGTAGAAATAAAAGATGGTTTATGTAATGATTTATCGGTGGTTGTAAAATGGCAGCCAGTGCCGTGGAAAGAAGGAATTAATTATTTTGTACAATGGGGAGCCAGTACTGAATCATCTAAAACTCAAATAATATATACCTCACAACCTCATAAACTCACTTTATCAGGGGTAAGTTAGTTAGCTAAAAATAATTGTTTGTTTTAGAATAATATTCATTACCAAAATAAAGCAATGCTTTAGGCCACACCAGTTTGAATTTATGTTTTTTGGGAACACCTATTTAGAATTCTGCTTCAGAAAAAAGACTAATTTAAAAGAAAAAGAAAATATAATTTGCTCTTCCAATATTTAAATCTTGAAATTTGAATCAGTGGTTTATTTGATGATCAAGGCTCTCAAAGAATTAAAAATTAAACTGGGTTGGCCTTACGTTGAAATTGTACTCCAAATATATATTTGTGTTGTATCTCTATGGAATCTTATAAAGCACAGTTACAGGGGATTAGATTTGTGCTTGAGATTGCTGCATGATTCTAAATTATAATTACATATTAGAATGGTATAACAATCTAGATGGTGTACAACTCTAAAACATGGCTGACTTTACTGTGGTGCTCTACTTTAGTTTTGAGCTGTACTTTATTTAGAGTGCTTCTACTGCAGAGTATTGGCTATTGTTGCACCTGTGTTGCCCTACTGCAGCGTATTGGCAATTGTTGTATGTTAGAGTGGTGCCCAACTGCAGATTATTGACAGTTCTACTGCATAGTGGTGCCCAAGTGTACATTATTGACAGCTGTTGTACTTCGAGTGGTACTTAACTGCAGAGTATTGTACTGAAGAGTGTTGCTGTGTGTTGGATTGATTTCCAGCTGTACAGTATTGGCAGTTGTTTTAAGTTAGAGTGGAGCCCAATTGCAGATTATTGACAGTTGTACTTCATAGTGGTGCCCAAGTGTAGATTATTGACAGCTGTTGTACTTAGAATGGTGCTCAACTGCAGATAATTGGCAATTTTTGTACTGTAGAGTAGTGCACTGTTGACTAGATTATAACTGCTAGTTAATGTTGTATTATGATTATTTTATAGAATGTTGGTAAAGTTATATTATATCAAGTAGACTATGCTACACATTATACACTACAGTTATCTGTTATATCATCATATGAGAAGGGAAGGTCAGTTATAAAAACATTTAAAACACCACAACAAAACTGTTCACATTCAACAGGTAAGTTATATTGTCATATATTTCTGTCTATATGATCCTATAATTGGCTTGTTTCTACCGGATCCAGGATTCTAAATTACCCATTAACGCCTTTGTTAACTTTCACAATTGCCCAGTGCTATGTATATTATTTTCTGTTTTGTTTGAGTATTTAATATAAATGTGGTGAAAATTATTTAATACGATTAGCCGACTTAAGGTAGCCATGTAGAGGCCTGTCCAAACTTTTTCTTATGTTTAACATTTTGTCCCTTTAAGGTTGTGTGTGTGTGGCGGGGGGAGGGGGGGGGGTCAAATGGTGTAATGCATGCACTTAGGTCATAAATTAATTTAAATGAGGTGGTTTTGATCCTGAGCTTTGTACCTGCCAGGAATAGGATCGCCTGACCAACCATGTGGGTTTTTTCTGGGTCCTCCAGTTTCCTCCCACTGCTAAAGCCCCTGGCAAGCAAATTATTGAAATGAAAATTGCACTATAACAAATGAACTGGTTTGTGCTCAGTTGACTTCAAACCACATTTGTCTCTCTCTCTCTAGATCTCTTGAGGTTGTAAACTGAATTCAGCACATGTCAAAATTATTATAACATATCTGTTATTGATGAAACTGTTGTATTGTGTTATTTTTTCAGGTTCAGCTGTAACAGACAGTAGTGTGAATATATCAACATTTATAACTAACAAACAGTTAAACCACCATGTTAATACAGACATTAATAAAACTAACACTTCTGTTAGTCACTATTATACAATAAACTATTTTACTTTATATACCTTAATGATATTAATATATTACATCGTCTGAACATTATACACAAAGTTTAAGAAATAATTCTCGTGCATTTTGGATACTTCAGAGGTTTTCGGTTCATGTATTGTGTGTAAATTAATTGAAATGGAAAGAAATGGGTTTTAACGGCCCTCTGGGCCTCCTGGTTAGTGAGTCTCTGTGTAAATAGGAGCAACTTCTCAAAAGATGAAGAGAATATTATCATTTTTTTCCCTTCATCGATGGCCAGTTCTGAAACTCATCAAGATATTTTTAAAAATCTAATCCATTCGTCAACTGATAAACTATGCAGATGATTGTGACAATTTATTATAATGTGGCTTTCACAGACCGAGTAATAATTTATAATGATTTGAATGGTTTTAGTACCCTCTGATATGTCTTTGTGGAATTCTAAGACTCAATTTTGTATTACAGAATTAGCATGGTGTATATAGGATGAGAGTTGTATGTTTGTTGCTATTAATGTTTCTAATACCCGTTACTTTAAGTGCCATATATAGAAACTACTATTTCTCGTTATTGTTTATGATTAACTATTAATGTTTAGCATCTATAGTGCTCTAAGGTCACACCAATGTGAATTTCTGCTTCCAATTTCACTTAAACAAAAAGTACTTTGTTCTCTGCTTACAAGTTTTTAATTCCAGGCCTCGTGTTCACAAAGCATTCTCAGACTTAAGTTAAGAATTTAATCAACTTTCAATCACTGTTTAGGGGAAATATCTTTGCTCCAGAAACACAAAACTGTGCACATAGTTTCTTATTGATGTATTTATTACATTAACACAACAACGGTTTTATAAAGGGCAATATTTTAGTTAAAATAAGGCGAACAATTTTAAGTAAATTCTTAACTTAAGTCTGAGAATGCTTTGTGAACTCGGGGCCAGATATTTTAAGTTTTAAAATTTGAACAAAACATTGAACACAAGAATTGAGTGGGTTATTTATTGATCAAGGCCCTGAAGAACTAAAAGTTAAACTAGTTTGGCCTAAAATGATTAAAACTGACATATTGAATAGATAAGCCATTAACTGAAGAAAAACTGCTAAAAACTGTATAATTTGACAAGTCTGCTTTCTTGAGGATCTGCTAGAAGGATCAGTAAAACATAATAATACATATAAGTGAGGGACTCATCCCCCTCCCCCCAAAAAACATGAGAAAAAAAGATGCTTTTTTTTTAATAGTGTTAAATCATATAATGTTTCCCTCACTTATATGTTAAATATGTGCCATATTAAATAAATTATATTTATAAATCAAACAAAACATTTGCATTTTTCAAACAATTTTTAGAGACTTAACTATTTTTTGGTTAATATTCATTTGAGAGATTGAACTTTGGCAATATTGTTGTTGGCAAAGGATTCGAAATATATCAAACAAGGATGAGAAACATTTAATAAACTGTTTGTATTTGGTTAAGATCAGTTAGAATGAAGTTTTAATGTTTATAGTTATTAATATGTAAAATGTTAACAATCTTTAATTATTATTTAGGTGAAGTTTAGAAAGTAACAAATTCTATTCAGGTATTATTGTAAATATTCTATATTTGTGTATATATTGTATGTAAGTATATTGTTATTATTTTGTAATAAAGCTTTAACATTGTTTTTATATATAATTACATTTTGTTTGTGTTTTTTGTATTGGTCCATTTCCATTATTAATATTTTTATGCTTACTCTTTCTAGAACATTTATACCACTTCTCATTTGAGGCATTCACAAGGTTAATACATTTTTGTTGAATTTTTGTATGAAAAGTACAAAAGTAGAAGGGGAATATATAAAAGTCTTCCATCTTGTTACATCAGCGCTTTTATTCATAAAATTGTAAACTCAAATATTTAAGAATGCTAAAAGCTACTCTGATTTTAATTCTGATCCAATGAAAATGCTAATTTATAAATTGGAAAAATATTTTAGTGGAAGGCTTGGTGACTTTCAACTGTGCAAAATCTTTTGTTTGTATGTGACAAAATGTAAGATCATCTATCTTACAACATAGGTTTTCTCTAGACTGCTCAAGGTGCAGTGTTAGTGTTGAGTTGATGTTTTATCTGAGATTACAAGTCAGTAGCAGGTGACAAGGTAGATCTGTCATCAAAAGTATGATTTACTAGGTAATAAGTTCGTACCAAATAGGTATGCTTGAAGACTAAAGGGGAACAACTCTTTCCTAAAACCGTGATCTTGGTATAGATTTAAATGTACTTTATTGAAATTAAGGATATTTATAATTTAAAATACAGATGTGGCATCACTCATTGATGATGGTGTACCATTATTTCAGATAAAGTATGAAAAATGTGACTATTGTACTAGATAAAATATTTGACTCCTGCAATGATTTCATTGAAATGCACATGCATGACAGTGTTTATAATTTAAGTTTTTTTAATGGTCTCGAGCAAGACATTATGTAATATATTGAAACAACACTATGGCTACTGTCCTAGTGCAGTATCAATATACTACTTAATGTCTTACTCTGGACCATTATACCACATTTAATGTGTAATATCAATAACTTTTAAATTATATTTATAGCACGGCTTTTATGGGTTTACAGGTTTAACCTCCAAGACTCATGGGCTTTAAATATCTTGTAACATTGACACCTGTCAATAATGTAACACATGTGTCTTGCCAACCAATTTGATCAATGCACATGCATAGTAGTCGTGTCTTCAAGGTTGTGTAGTGAACTAATACTGCACAGAAAACCCACACCACTTCTCCATATGATTTCTACTAAAACTGATGTAAACTGGCAAAAGTGTGCAGTGACATAGCAAATGTCTAGTTATGGCATGGTTAAGCTCCACAGGATCTATTAGAGCAAAAACAATCTGCTTTTTCAATGAAAAAAAAGTAGATTCCTGGTCCGTGTTACAAAGCAAAAGAAAATTAGTTTAAGAAAAGTATGAAAAGTAAGAAGAACTAGACTCTAAACCTCAGATGAACCAATTTTTCTACCATTAGGCTACCGTCATGTGTATCCATCCTACTGAAAATATTTATAACAGGCATTCAGCTCACATAAATCTGTAAATATGAGCTTTGAAAAGATCCTCAACTTCTGAATTCCCTTCAATTGATTTGATGTTCACCCAGCATTGTCCTTATATGGAAAAAAAGAAAAACTGACTTTTAATGCTAATTTATTTATTATATTTTGTTCTTACAAAAATAAGCAATAAAATAAATATGTTCTAGAATTAAAGTTTGTGAAGGTGTGAACACTGATTCACTGTTAATTAGTACTGTTTAACTTCCCACATCTTTCTGTTTATAGTTCAACTAGAATCATTGTTACATGAGTTGCTGAATTAAGATAGTGACCAGGCATGTTATGTTCATTCTTTTTACAACCCCTGATCATACAACATATCCTGTATTCAACATCAATATTTTTTTTATTGTACTTTAATGTTAAAGGAAGTCAATTAAAATTTCAGTAAAAGGAATAGGTTAGATCAGCATATTGTAAAGATAAAAAGCCAAACTTAAGGCCACATAAAAAAAAATATTCTCACTCTCAATAATCAACAAAATACTAAATGGATATACATACTGGTACACAAGAGTTTAAGAATGAAATAAACCCAAAGTATGATAAGTTTTGGTAATAGCTGAGACACATTATAAACAACTAAAATACACATTACAAACTTGACAAATAAATTCAACTGAGTAACTGAGACAGTACAACAGGAAAACTGTGAATTATAGTGAGCCTTCAAAAGATCAGAGCTCAGTCTCTACAAAACTCCATCTAAACTATGATCCAAATAGTTCTTTCTAAGGTTATCCAAATTACAAAACTTTTGTAATTTCATGTAAATGTGACTTGACCAGGGAAAGATTGTCACAAAAGATCACAGCTTAATCTCTGCAAAGCCTCATCTAACCTATGATCAAAATATAGTTCCTAAGTTCTTTCTAAGGTTATCCAAATCATAAAACTTCTGTAATTTCATGTACATGTGGCTTGATTTTTACATTTATTTTATTTGCATATTATTCTTTTTTTTATAAAACAAAATATCATACATTACCCTGTCTATTTGCAAAATTGGAAACACAACAAAACTTTAAAAAGATAAGTTTGCAAAATAGAATTTATGCCTAAATGAAATTAAGATAATTGTGACTAGACTGCATCAGCAGACTGATTAATCTGAGAACTAAGTGACATCACAAAGGTTAATCAGGTCAAGTATTTTAGACAAGGGTAGTGTAGATGGTTGTTCTGTGTAGAGAGAGAGGGAGAGAGAGAGGCTTACAAAAAAATACTTTTCTACATTTTGTAATGCAAGATTTGCTGGAGAAAGATACCTGCAGTTGAATTTCCTTATTTTATACATTAACAAGATATTATAATTCATAATCACATGAGTTGAACTTACTTCCCTGTAAATTAACAATATAATTATCATTTATTTATAATTAATATTCATATGAGTTGAACTTACTCTCCTTGTAAATTAACAATATAATTAGCATTTATTTATAAATAACATTCATGTGAGCAAAGTAAAAGCATCCCATAAAAATTATTTGATGCTGTTAAGTAATATAGACACATGGTTTACATAGAAAAATACATCTTTAAATAAATCTTTAAAGGAATTCAGGAATATTATACAACAATAAAAACAACTTTAGTTGTTTATCATGTTTTTGAATACATGATGTTGAATCCAAAATGGTAAAAATAATTAATTTCTTGCAGAAGTTTTGTAGTCTTCAAATTTGGTGTTCTTCATTCTTCAAATGCTGATTAGGAGTAATGCGTAGCTCAGTGACTTTTCCTTCTTTTAAAATATTTTGTTATTAGTCAGCCCAGGGGACTCAGCCCACTCAACATAAATTACATCATTTTGGGACTAAAATATGGTTGGGATAACAGAGATTTGAGTTTATTTAATTAATTCACAAGTTTTGCTTAAAATAAAAATATATAACAAACTAATTAATAATAATATCTAACAATCCTAGAGTATATAAACTAATAAATATAAACACTAAATAAATAAATCCAAATATATAAATAAACATCCCAACTTTATAATGTTGACATACAGCAATACAAAAGTTATTTCTCCTTACTAAATAACCTAACTTACCATAACTGAATGCCTCCAATATGTTTAACTGACCCTGGCCCCAAGTTCACAAAGCATTCTCAGACTTAAGTTTAAGAATTTACTCAAATTTGTTTGCCTTATTTTAACTAAAATGTATCAAATACATCAATAAGAAACTATGTGCAAACTTTTGTGTTTCTAGATCAAAGATATTTCTCATAAACAGTGACTGAAAGTTGAGTAAATAGCTGTTTTGTTTTAACTGATTGAGCTCTGTATGCATGGTATGGTGCTACTTTCTGGCCTGGATGTACGTATCAGTTGTTGTTTGTTTAATTTTCCAGCACAATGCTTTGTTGATCAAACTACAGAAAAGAAACTTTTGTATTTTGCTATTCGCCATTCAATCAGCGCAATCAATAAGAAACATTTTCCAATATACAATAAAACAAAATGCAGAGTTACAAATCACTAGGTATATAGATTCAAACAGCATAACAAAATCAGTAAATGATGGTTTGTTTATTTTTTATATGTGCAAACTATATAAAGCTGTACTAGAGCTAGTATAAATCTAATGTACACTTTATCATCGAATAACACACTATTAATGGATGCTTGAAAACGTCTTGTGAAATCTTGTTGAAACGTCGCAGTGAAATAAACCATAGTAATTGTTATCCATAAATAGTGTGTTATTCGATTATGTCCCAATTACTAAATGCCATTCAAAGAATATACACTTTATCATACTGAGAAATAGTCTTACACTTGTGTTAATTCTACAACTTTATGAATACTGATCTAAAAATAACTAGACCCTTCATGATTTTGATTTAATTAAATTTGATGTATTGATTTCATTTATAAAATGGGTATCTGTCTACGATTTACCCTGTGCCAATGTTTAGATAGATGAACTGACTTTGTGTTTATAATTAACAGTTGACAGTTTAGACAAAGATAGGTTGCTAACAAACACCCACAGCAGCTAATTCTTCCAAGATTTACTCACAGGTTGTTGCATTAAGACTCTTTAAGTTCACTAATCTGAACAATGCATATATAATTCTTAAGCAAATCAGATGTGATGGTAGCTTTTGTTGATACAGTATTCACAAAATTCTACAAAATGATCAAATGCAATATCAAAGTCATTATCAGAAATCGTTGAACTGAATAGGGTTCCTCATCTCACTAATGAAAACTATATAAATGTACAGTAGACTTCCATTCATAATTTAATCATGAAATGGATGATCGAGACTATGTTTTTTTTATCGTATAGACTTTAGTAATGATGATCGAGGCTAGGCCGAAATTTCAATCGCTTAATTCTCGGTTCATAGTGGATCAATTTGACTGATTTTTTCAGCAAATTCCCTTTACATTATCTATTTTTAACTATTATAGTGAGAACTACCAGCTCTTTATCTTATCTCCCATAATGTATCTTTAATGAATTTATTGTTAATTTGTTTTGTGAGATAATATGTTTTAGTATTCAGATAAAACTAAAGTCGAGTCTTCATGTGTTAAAATTAAAACTAAAATTAGTAAAAACAAACCTTTACAATGTATCAAACCTCTAGAATGTATCAAATCACTAATCGAAATAACCCATCAATTCAATCCAATTCAACACTTTCTTATTATCTAAACCAAAGAGGTTCACTTACTTTAAGATTTTTTCGAGGCACTGATTTGAAAAAGTTACAAAAAATATTCATTTGTCATATTGTATGTACACCTTTAAAAATTCCACTCAAATTTTTTACAGTTAAGCTTAAATTATATACACTCATAGTGATAAAATTAAAAGAATTTATGATTATTATCATATATTTTGTATATTTATAAGTATAAATATATACTGCAATTTATCATACCATTCCTTACTTTAAGATCTTGGACTTTGTTCACACTCAGAGTGTGGAGGTGTGGCTTTATTCATTAAAACTTAAAATCCTCTTAGTTAATGAAAAGGCTACATAGTTAGTGACTACAGCCCCTGGAAACCAAGCGGCAAATAATAAATTTAATCCATAGCAACAGGGATTAAAATATTTCAATATTCAGAAAACCATACAATATGAATACAAACAGTGTTGTATCAGTGGTGCTATTAATTAATTAACTGTTAAAATCTTCAAGAAATTTTAGCGGCTGAGGAATTCATCAATCACTGAACTAAATAGTGTAGATAAAAAAGGTTCACGAAAAGTATGTGAATTGTGAACAAAGTCTAACATTTCTTAAACTGATAAACTGAGCATCATTATTATGAAGAAATTTGCTGCCAATTTCCAATAATATAATATAAAGTGTATAAATGGACGGATTCTTTATATAAATGTACATTATACTACACAGCAATTACATATAAACATCTGTTTTCCAAAAACACAATAAACAACATCCAAACCTTCTTTTTTACAACCATTATTCTATCTCTTATACCTACCTCACATACCTTCAATAATATTCTTTTCGTAAAAGTACAAATGTATTATTGTAATAAAATGAAACGTGCAGTCTGATTTGAGTTATAAAAATAGAATTGTCAGTTTAATTAATTTGAATAGTTTTGAAAAGAGGGCATTCTATCTACAGTTAAAATGTTCAGTCCACGGATAAAGCCAATAACTGATTTTGTGTTCTGTATTTGAAGCTAAAAACAAAACTAAAATTACTAAACAAAACGTCAATCGATTAATCTTTTGAAGCGAAAATCTAATATGTTCACCATTGATTGAAATAACGCATCTGATCAGCCAAAACAACAGAAATGAAATGAGGTTTAAAGTACGACTGTTCTACTCCCAACTGGGTAAATGAAGACGGGCATACACCATACAGAGTGCTATGGGGAAATTTGGCGCGGACAGCAGCACTACAGCCTACTCTTTTTTCCCGTAATAAATTGTATAAATGAATAAATATGCTGTTTATGTTATTTTGGAAAACAGATCTTTATCTACCATTAAATGTTAGGTACTAGTTCCGTAGTCCCAGACATCTTTATGGTCTTGTTATCAAACTGTAAAAAATAACTGAACTCTTTATTATGTTAACTTATAATAGTTTCAACCAATACACCTACAGGTTGATTCATAAACTAACTTATATTACATACAGGATATATTACACACAATAATGCTAGTATATATTTTATTACTAAATACTGTTTATGGCACAATATATACTCTTCAAAAAAAGTAGGGGATATTGAAATGCAAATTACTATGCAGGTTGTTATATGATAAATAATCATGGACATTTGACATGCTTCGAGTTTATGTTCACAGATGAAATTATCGCCCCAACAGAACCATTGAGCTGCATGTGCGACATGCAATAACACCATACATATGGAAGGGGTTCATTGTCAAATTTGACACTTCAAGGAAGGGTTGATGAAAACTGCCGTGTGCTGGTTTATCTACCCATGTTTGCTTTTCTATCAGTTCTTGCATAAGATTTACCATTTAGCGTATCTTTGCTTTAGTGTGTTAAGTTTAATTTGATCGGGAGACGTGTTCTTCGATGTCAACTCAACCGACAACACTGCAAGAATTTTCCGTGGCACTGCAAGTGGAGTGTATCAGATTGCACCAAATTGTGATTAGACGGTTGATTAAGAGCATTCCACGACGAATTGCTGAATGTCTGAGGATTGGTCGAGCAATTAGTCATTATTAAGACAAAAATCAAACACATCCATTTTCACCATTGATGGTGTATCTCTTTGCCAGTGAAATGGTGCCGTCAGATAAGCCGCCCATATGAACTTTTTATGTTCATGTGTAGGCAATTGACCTGTTATTAACATATACTGGTTACCTCCAATAAAAACAGCAGTGCATTTCCGCAGTTTTGTATTGTTTCTGAATATCCCCTACTTTTTTTGAAGAGTATATATATCAATAAATAATTATAATCCAGTCAATTATAATATATATAAATAAATAGTTATAATCAATCCAGACAATTATAATATTATTAATTATTAGTTATAATCAATCCAATCTATTTAGTGATTCCTTTACTAGCCAACTCTTCTTTAACCCTATGTAAATAGGTTGGGTCTGGATATCCATGGCTGAAAATTTAAATGCAATGACAATCATTCTGTTTTGTTTCTCTGAGGTTCAACTGATACAAACTGTTCTCTAATGAACAAACAAGTTTAATTTCATTCACAAACTAATTAAACAATGGAGGGGGGGGGGGAGAGGGAGAGAGAGAGAGAGAGGGTTTAACATTCACTGGGCACAAACTAGGTCATTTTGGGACTAACATATGGCTCAATTTTATTTCAATAATTTGCATGCTTGTAGGGGTCTTTAGCAGTGGGAACCGGAAGACCCAGAGAAAACCCACGAGGTTAAGACAGGCGACCCTACTACTTGTCACATACAACCAGGGAATCGAAACCACACAAGTTGACTCAATGACAGATCTTATGATACAGCGTGCACATGCTAACCATTCGGCCATCCAACCCCCCCATTAATCAATGGGGATCACTAATCGGTGGATTTTACATGTGCAAAAGATGCAACAATCATATGTTAGTCTGTGTTCGATAGATACAAATTGGAATCCGCCATTTCTTGTTTTTCTAGTCAAATCTGCACTATATGACCATTTTGTATGATGTCTGACTCCCAGATGACAAAATAAAAAAATACTAATGCAAAATAAATTGAATGTAAATACATGTATGAAGATGAATATTAGTTCAGATTTAACGAAACAGCTTTTAAAGTCACATGTCTAAAGAACAAATAGGAGCATGCACTAAGACCATGTTTTCAGCCAGTGGAGACGCTTACATGGAAAACGTGCCTTTGATGATATTTCTTTAGTAAGATGTCTAGAATATAACTATAACTATTTCCTGCTAATACTCTCCTCTTAAAAAGAAATTTCTAAGCTTTTTGGCACAGGCAGTAGTACTAGTAAATATAATCATAATGAAAAGCATAATATATAAGGCCAAAAAAATAAACACCTGTGTTTACGGTCACCAGACCGACCCTTTATGTTTTAGCAAAGATGGCCAACCCTTCTCAAGCCCTGTAACTCGGTCTTGGTGTGATTTTCTCTAGTCAAATGCCAACACTGAAATTTTGGTATTATCTTCAAGAATCTTGCTTGGTAATAAGCTAGAAATGCTAGGAAATAGATAATAAAAAAACCCACAAAAAAAATCCTCAGAACAATAAAAAGCAATAAAAAGGTTTTTTGTGGCCAAGTAACCGTAAACACAGGTATATTTTTGTTTGGCCTAATGAGATCTTACTTGGTAGATCCACCAGTCATACTAGTTTTATGATGTATGTCGTTCCAGGTTATCACCCCACTTTTACCCGTAGTACATGAATCACCAATCGTAAATATAAGACGTGCATCAAAAGCCTTGTATAACAACTGCAGAACATCTTGTCCATCTTTATTATTGGGTAAATAGGCTCTACGTCGGATACCCTCATAGGGACGGCCAGGATTTGGGTGACTCTCCTGTGAAAAAAGAAATTTTGCTATTAGCCATTTGCTAAAAAATATGCTTTTCAAAAATTTTAAAATAAAAAATTTGTCAATTCAAAACCAAATCAGCTAACAAGAAGTCACTTACTTATTCTAGAAATGAGTAGGGTATGGGGGAGGGGGTGCATTATTTAGTTACATTGACATCATTCAGATGGCTTTAATTTTAGGCTGCATTTTCCTACAGTAAATGTATACTGTATATATATACTAAAACAAATACGGATGGAAGAATGTGTTGACATTTATAATCACTAATGCCAACATCAATTGTGATAGGCTATACTAATATTTTCTACACTAATAAAACCATTTTGCCAATATACTACTGTCAAATTAAGGGTATGCCTGATTGGTTGATTCTTTATTTATCGACCAATAACAGCCTATTTATCACAAATGGTTCCTATCGATGTTGTTAGATCAAACCAGTCAGTCCTTTCTAAGTCAAATTTGAAAAAATATATTGCTAGTTGAACCATGTGTTCATCAGAAAATGAAAATATGCATTGAAGTTGTAAAAATATACAGGTTAATTGAGAGAGAGAGAAATGGGGTTTAACGTCCACTCGACACAAACTAGGTCATTTCGGGACTAACATATGGTTTAATTTTATTTCAATAATTCACTTGCGCATAGGGGTCTTTAGCAGTGGGAGGAAACCAGAGGACCCGGAGAAAACCCACGAGGATGGACAGGCGACCCCTACTCCTTGTCACGTACAACCGGGGATTCGAAACCACGCCAGTTGACTCAATGACAGGCTTATGATACAGCATGCATGTACTAAAACTAGGGACCGGGTATCATTCAGATTTGATGAAAAAAGGAAAGAAATTGAGCTTACCATCTATAATCTAATACACATATTCAGTTAATAGATTGCCATGCAGAAAGTATTAAATACCATCAAGATTCATCAAAAACCTCCCACTGCTAAAGACCCCTACGCGCAAGCGAATTATTGAAATAAAATTAAACCATATGTTAGTCCCGAAATGACCTAGTTTGTGTCGAGTGGACGTTAAACCCCATTTCTCTCTCTCTCTCTCACTCTGGAATGATATTCCTATCTTGGGAATAATGATAGATAATACTTTGAACCAGGAGATTTTATTCCATCATATACTATTCAAAAAAAGTAGGGGATATTTGATTTTGGGGGCATAATACTAAAATATGCAAATGACTACGAAAAAAGTCACTATAGAACCTAACAGAAGAAACATTTCCAGTTACATGTGACGCCCAAACGCACCAATAGCTACCGCATGGAATGCAGGTGATGCTTGGGATCATCATGGGGGTCCAACCCAAGATTTGCACGACTCTGACTTTGAATGTTATAGTCATTGTGGCATTGAATTCCAGGGTGGAAACATCAGTTTAATTGTTTTAGTGACCAGAAAACAAATTTTGATATGCGTCGGCTTACCCAAAATGAAAGGTTACGTGCCCTTGGCATGCTACAGATCGGCACAACACAGGCGGTTGTGGCGCGGACGATGAATGTTTCTCAGTCTGTCATAAGCAGGCTATGGTCCAGATACCGTGATACACAATCTGTACAGGACAGACCACGCTCAGGTCGACCAAGGGCGACAACTCAAGCCTAGGATCGATTTATCCGTACCTTGGCCTTGAGAAATCGTGTCATCACAGCAAATCAGATCAGCGCTCGTCTTCAAACAGACACTGGTGTGAGAGTGAGTGGCCAGACGATTCGGAATCGACTGCATAGGGGTCACCTTCGCGCCCGACGTCCTCGCGTGATCCCTTGTTTGAGAGATCATCACATTCAGGCAAGACGTCCTTGGTGTAGGGATCGTCAACACTGGGATAATCGACGCTGGAGCAATGTGATGTTTTCAGATGAGTCAAGGTTCACTGTTGATTTTTTGGACAGACGTAGGAGGGTGTGGCATCGTCGAAACGAGCGCTTCCAAGACGTTAACGTCATCAGACATGATCGATTTGGGGGTGGTTCTGTTATGGTGTGGGGAGGCATCACTGTTGCTGGAAGAACGGCTTTACATGTTGTTGCAGGGCGTGTTACAGGCCAGTACTACCGGGACAACATCTTGGCAGTCCATGTTGTGCCGTTCGCACGATGTCATGGCCGGCGTTTCATCTTCCAGGATGACAACGCAAGATGTCACAGGGCCAGGATCGTTACAGGTTACCTCCAACAACAGAACATCACCACATTACCTTGGCCAGCACTGAGTCCCGACCTCTCCCCCATCGAGCATGTCTGGGACATGCTTGGACAGAGGTTACGTCAACGTCAACAATGTCCTGCCAATGTCCAAGAACTTGCTGCTGCGTTGCAACAGGAATGGGACAATCTGGACCAAAATGACCTTAGACGTCTCATTAGGAGTATGCCACGTCGGATCAATGCTTGTTTGGCAAACAGAGGAGGATTTACCCGTTACTGACTTGGTTGTGATGCTGTGGTAACTTTGCTGTTTGACCCCGGGTATCATTTTACCCTTATAATGGTCAGTCTGTGCCTTACTTAGTCTAACGATCATTTGGAATAAATCGATGAATGTGAACTTCATTTCATTTTGTCATTTGTTTCTTCGTCAGTTTCATTAGGTGACTTTAATAACACTTAAAAATCAAATATCCCCTACTTTTTTTGAATAGTATACTTACATCTTGTATTCCATCATGAAAGGAGTAGGTAATTTCCAAAACACCATCAGCATCCTTGAATCCTTCCAGTTTATGGGAGACGATTATTTTATGAATCATCTTTCCTCCTTTTGGTTGATTTCCCATGATAACTCCATAAATCATTCCACATTCTGGGCAGACAGGTTTATTTACAAAAGCATGGCGGATGCAATCATTACAATATTTATGGCCACATTTTGGCAATGTTTTAGGATTAGTCATCTCGTCTAAACATATTCCACATGTATTACTGGAACCGGTTCGTCTGTTGATGTTAGCTGGAAGACTTTGGTACTCATTTGAGAATCGAGAGTGGGATGAATGATCGAAAGAACGAAGGTGGCGATCATTCATGGTACTTGAGGCTGCACTAACTGTAAATAGAATTCAATTTAGTCTGATATAAACTGCACTATCCACTTTTCAAAATCAATTTTATATCCCTTAAACATTCGGTATCTCACATCAGTTAATTATAAATACCATTTATATGTTAAAGTGTCAAACTAAATATTGTTTTAGAATTTAAAATTTAACCTTCCGATTTTCAAAGAAAAATACCTGTATCCCGAACCAGGCCACAAAAAATTGGGTTGAATATCTGTTCAACACAACTGAGTTTTTTACAGATTAATAAATATCGGAGCAGCAATACAGAAAATTTGAAATATCAGGTTAAACTTATTCCTTGCATAAATGACAGGATTACGACTCATTTTGCAACACTTTTAAGGACCGAGTCCATGGCAAGAGTTTGTATTATATGTAGAAACAACAAATGAAATGAAATAAAATAGACGGGTTTATGACATGAAGTGTACCAAGAGAGAAACTTTGCCCTGACAATGGTGGTATGACCACCTCTTATTTAGAATTCAAACTGTCAATGGTTCCTTTAAGTGTACGCCATTGTGTAAACTGTACAAGGGACAATGATTTTAGTTGTATCTGAAGGTCTGTCTTTGAACAAGATGGACATAAATAATATCCACAATTAGTAATAGTAAAAAGGTTATGAATTACAGCTGTTTTCCATAGCCTTTTATCCACAATTAGTAATAGTAAAAAGGTTACGAATTACAGCTGTTTTCTATAGCCTTTTATCTACATCTGTATCCTTCATTTTACTAATCTTATCTAATATAAACAAACACTCACCTTTCGACTTTCTACTATCTGTACTAGTAGACAATGGCATAGCTTTCAGTGGTGAAATCGAACTTCTAGAACTCTTACTTGCACTTGAGATAGTCTTCCTTAGCGACTGGGAGATATTGCTCGCTGTGGCCCCTGTGGAATCATTAACAGGGTATGTACGTGTTGTGCTGCTTCGTTGAGCTGTTTTTGGATCACTGGTTCGTGATGATTTGGCCAGTTCCAAAGAGCTTGTCATTTTAGGGGAATCTGGCCGAGTAAATGTTTTATCTGGACTTCGTCGACTAAGAGAACTTGAACGTTGTCTACTTGATGTTGATGCTGAAATACCTGTAGCAGAAAAATAACCAGAATTATAATCTGTGTAGATTGTCCCCCAAGGATTTCCTTTGAAGTAGATATTTGTGGATATGTTTTCTAATCAGTGCTGATGTATTAAGATTGTGATATCTGTAGGATTGTTATAATTGAGGAAATATATCTGTAGAATAGTGACTGTTGAGGAGGAAATATAGCTTTAAGATTGTGATAGTTGAGGAGGAAATATATCTTAAGATTGTGATTGTTGAGATGGAAATATATCTTAAGATTGTGATTGTTGAGGATGAAATATATCTTAAGATTGTGATTGTTGAGATGGAAATATATCTTAAGATTGTGATTGTTGAGATGGAAATATATCTTAAGATCACAAAATATATCTTAAGTTTGTGATCGTTGAGATGAAAATATATCTTAAGATTGTGATTGTTGAGATGGAAATATATTTTAAGATTGTGATAGTTGAGGAGGAAATATATCTTAAGAAAAAATATCTTCATATCTAATCACATACTGTTATTAATTGGTTGCAATAGATCTTCTTCTGATACAAGTTTACAGCCAGGGAAAATTTTGATAGTATACTTTGACCTTATCTTGAAAATCAGCAGCACACAAATTGAATTCTGAGTAAAATTTGAACAAAGAAAAAGCACTACGGCATAGTCCCCAAACTTTCAAGATACTGTATTGAAATATTAAGATATTTCTAAGATTAGAAAATTTGAAAGTCAAATAAAACTTTATACCTGCAGCTCCTATAACATTTTTTCTATCTGACGATGTATCATAACTTTTAGTCATAGATGTTCCAGAGTAAGTATCAGATGGTTGATTGTGTAACATATCCATAGAATTACATCTTCGCAAACTACTACCATCTTTAGGTCGTGCTCCAGCAGCTCTAAAAGATAACATTTATTTGATATAGATCAGAAGAATTATCAACTTTGAAACAGTCGTAGCTTAGTTGATATCTGTTCACAAGAAGTGCAATTGTGGTGTTTCACAGGATCAATTAGAACAGTTATTGTGTTTCAAATTATTCAACTATCAAATTGAAGGAAGGAAGCTAATAAAATGTTCAAAAGAAGTATACTTATTGCATTGGAAAGAATTCATTCATATTGCAGTAGCTAAGTATACATGTATATGTGGGGATGGCATTGATGCTCAAGATCTTGTAAGTGATTGCAATAAAGATTACATCCCAAACTTAGGCTGCCTGTCTACAGCTAGCTCCGCCTGAGAACAGGCCCTAAGCTAATTAAACGACATTTTAATTCCTACATCGACGATTTTAGTCAAAAACACTGAGTATGCTTTAGAAATTTTTAGAAGTATTTATTTCTCTTCTATTGTCATATTGAATGAAATTAAATATGTTTACTTAGCCGTTGTGTGTATGAAAGATGTCAAACTAATCAGCTGAATTACAAAATAGCCCTCTAATTATTCAATATGGCGGCGGCCATGAAAGATCACGTGAGCGTTTTAAATGGCAGGTATTAAGGGGAGTGATCAAATTCTCAAAGTATGACGTAGATCGATCGCTGCGTGCAGTATGTAAAGATTATTTCAAGTTTCACTTAAACACACTGTGTTTTAAACACTTTTAAACCTCGATTGCATTGGAAAGAATGGACCATTCATATTGCAGTAGCTAAGTACATATGTGGGATGGCATTGATGTTCAAAATCATGTAAATAATGCAATAAAGATTATTTCAAGTTTCACTAAACACACTGTGTTTTAAACAATCAATCAAAAATAATAAACTCTTACCCTGTAGCTGTTAAACCTCGATTGAAAATATCACCTTTACTATCTTTCAGTTCAAATTTACTCACAGCTTCTGCTGTCATCTTATCTATTTCACTTGAGTCGAGGATAGACTGTAGTAGAGTACTGGCCATACTGACAATATTAATATCATTATTTACCAAATGAACCTCTTTTAATGAATTTGGTTTCGTCTTAGTGAGGAAGATTAACACAGCATCAATAAATGCGCCAACACAATCTTCTAATGGTATAGAGAACAATCCTAAAACAGAAAAACATCAAACAAAATGTAGCCCAGTTATCCATTTTGTTGAAGTATTCCACCATTTCACCTGGATATATTGAAACACTGGAAATTAATGAAAGTTATTGAGATAAGCTGACTGAGAGAAAACAAGCTCTATAGAACTTATACCTCCCACCAAATATCTAAACCACATTTCTATAGATTGATCAATCTGCTCCCCCACCCCCTCCTCAAAATCTAAATCTAATGAAAACTGTACTTATTTACAAAATTCATCAAAAAAAATACATACCTGTGCTAATAAATGGAAGAGCCAAAGATTTCAAGAAAAGTTTTTTGTCTGCATAAATCAGACAGTTTAAGAATGTCTTCGTCAGTTGAAAGAAACAATCAGCCTTATAATTATCTCCAATGTAGATTGGTCCAACTGTATGAAGAATATAGTTAAACTGTTTTAATTGTCCACCAGATGAGGTGTGCATAACACTACAAGTTTCTAGACGGCCATGATTAGTAATATATTCAATACACTCTCTTTCCATCATTTCACCTGCTGCTTTAGAGATAGATCTAGCAACACCTGACCAGTTCTTTAGTTCTGGATTGGCAGCATTAACTATTGCTTCAGCTGTAGCCTTAGTGATATCTGCTAGATATACCTTGATGTTGAGATCTCCAATTTTATAAGACTGAGATCTGTACCCATCAGGAACTTCATCCTCTTCAGCATAAGGTGCTGAAGCGCCGTAACGAGATCCAGCTCTGCGCGTATTAGATGAATAAGTGTACCGTTGATCAACTGCCGCAGTGCTGGTACTAGGTTGTGCCAATCTACTATCTCTCATACTGTTTCTAGGTGTTTCAGAGTGACCTGATGCAACAGAATGACGATCTTGAAGAGTCTCTGCATCGCTGATATCTGCATCTTCACCTTCATCATGAGATCTATGGACAGAAGCAGTTCTTTGATGACTTCTGTGCAAATTCTCATCTGATTCTGGTGAAACTCTGTAAGTTTCTTGACTATCGTGAATTGACGATCGGCCACTTTCAGCTCTGGCCAATAAACTATCACCATGACCTTGCTCAAGACTATTCTCTCGCTGGTGGTCAGATTCCCTGGTTGGTTCACGAAGACCACCTGCTGTGGACTGGAGACTGGTGAAATGATTAAAAGTTGTATCGGCATCTCTGGCACGGGAGTTCCTGGACAAGCTTCTCTGTAGCATCTCCTCATCAACTGAAGAAGTCATGGAAAATCCAGCATTTTTCCGTTCATCTATTTCCTTAATCAGAGCGGTACCATGAAGTTGGGCAAGATCAGAATTTCTTGATGATCTTCTATGATCAGACCTCATATCTAAATCACTTTCATCATCAGATTGTCTATATCTTCCTGGATCAGTTTCATAACCCCGCCCATGGGGAGCCCCTCTAACAGTTCGTTCTCGTCTTTGACTGCTGACTTCTCCCTCATCTCTATGCTGTCTCTCATCCCGGTCTCTTCTGTCACCTCGGTTTAATCTTTCATTTTGCTGTGCCTCTTTTCTGAATAAAGAAATAAATAATAAATTTTCATAAAATATTTATATATCCTGGTATAAAGAATGCAACCTTTTCTTTGGATGGGCCTCTTCTTAATCCATCTGAATCCAAATTGGGAGATCATCTACAGTTGATAGTTTGATTTTGTTTTCTTAATTAAATGTTAAATAATCAAATTAATCTAATCAATACTTTTATCATGGAAAATCTGATATTTTCTGCAAAATGCAAAATACACACAGAGGCTTTAATATTATATTGAGCCAATATTGGGATGTGCAGAAAGATGTTTCAGATTAAAAACAAAAGTAATTACCTTTTAGTTTGAGAGGTGGAGACACTGGCGCGGAGTTCAGAGGCTCTAGCAGCACCATTAGTAAGATTTCCTTCTTGTGGGGAACCATCTCTATCAGACAGTTCTGAGATGTCTGAATCATCCTGACTAATCTGTTCCTGTAGGCGATGATGAATGGCATGTTGTTTCTCCATTATTTGGCTTAAATAATTCCATGCCCATTCTATTTTATACCAACTACCAGACAGTGTAACGATTTCATGCCCTTTCACCCCCGTACCTACACGCAATCCCCAGTCTTGGAGTGTCTTAATGTAATCATCTGTAGTCAAAACAAATGTGGATAATCCAGGTTCAAGATGAACATCAACGCTTGAAAAAACCTAAAGGCATTGCAAAATACAAAATTTAAATAAATATTTTTGCACAAAATCTAATGTTAAGAAATCAAATATAATTATATATTACTGCACAGACTGGGATAAGGAAGTGTGCAAGGAGAGAAATTACTCTTATATCAATTGTCTAAGTTTTTTTTACGGCAACGGTTATTAGGGACCTGGGTTTTTCATCTGATCAGAACAATTAAACACTGTCTTTGCCAGGCCCTCCGGACTGGATAGTGAGCCAGCACCTTCCTCATTGAACCAAAACTTAATTAAACAATATACCAACCAACTGACAGTAAACAGCCTACAGGGACCTTGTTTTTTTTTTATCTGATCAGAATAACCAATAATTTGGTTGCACACAGGTTAGGCAGTTCACATACCAACCTTGTCACAAAGATGTACGAAATTTGCTGTTTCGGTTTTGCAAATTTAAAAAATATAAATATCCTTAAGATTTTTATATACCCACATTAATATAGGAGGTATAATGTTGCCATCCTGTCTGTAGGAATGTCAACACTAACATGTGAACCATATAGAATCAAAAAGGTGTGGTTTGTTTGCTTGACTGATGCATCTGTTTTAGCCAGAAACATTTACAATTATCTTAAATAGATGGATAAACTTTGCTTACAAACCTCATGAGGAAGTGGTGTCAGACAGAAAGTGTGTGATCTATCTTCATGTTTCTTTGTAACAGCAGTTACAGCAGCTTAAATAATAAAAATATACTCAAATAATATTGTTAACATTCAGGTCAGGATATCATAACTTTGGGAATGGAATGGAGTTTATTGACCGACAACAGCCATACCACCTCCTCTTCTTCAAACTGCAACTGCCAATGTCTGCCAAACATTCTTTTACGGTCACACTAATGTGCACATGTGTGAACCTCTGCTTATCGTGCTACCCAAATGACTAGGTACACATTCGATGTCGCAGGCCTTGCAGCCACAACCAGTCAACAACTGACAGGTAAAAACCAAGATTGAAAAATACCAAAGGTTCAACTTAGCCCATATTGGAAATTGAACACAGGACACTCTAGTTGAGACGTCTGAGTGCCATTTCTCTCAACTACCTCAGTCCCAACAAGTTTGGGTGTTCCAGACAAATTGTCTGGCATTGTTGAATTTGCTACTGCCATTATCTGTCTAGACCTGTATTAAAGATACATTCACATGAACTTGACTAATATGGGGGAAAATGTACCTGTTCCTAAAACATATCTTGTGATATATTTTAAGCGAGCTCCATTCTGAATGAAACTGTAAAATGACAAGTCATTCCAGCAAGATCTCAATCGCTAGGCAATGGATGACAACATCAAATGCAGACATAAGAATATGTTATGTGTGTTGAAAAAAATGACCTAATTATTCTTGCGGGAACATATAAAAACACAGGAAAGACAGAATGATAGGAATAAAGAGAGGGAGAAATGGGGTTTAACGTCCACTCGACACAAACTAGGTCATTTCGGGACTAACACATGGTTCAATTTTTTTTATTTCAATAAATCGCTTGAGCGTAGGGGTCTTTATCAGTTAAAGAAAACCAGAGGACCCGGACAAAACCCATGAGGTTGGACAGGCAGCCCTACTCCTTGTCACCTACAACCGGGGATTTGAAACCATGCCAGTTGACTTAATGACAGACCTTATGATACAGCGCACACATGTAAACCATTCGGCCATCCCCCCTACCCCCCAAGAATGATAGGAATAAGACAGGAATCTGCCATTTACACTGTGAGCTAGACAGGTGGATCATTTCCAGGATTGCTTAACATATAGAAAAATTAAACAAAAAAACAAAAATACAATATAATCAATTGACGGAACTAAATTTAAAGTTCAAAATTGATTCCAGGCTGAAAAACATCTAAAACTAAAAAAAAAAAAAAAAAATACACAGCTAAATAAACTTACTTATTTCTCGGTTAAATATAATAACAGCATCGTTATTTATTAAAGGATAATAAATCCTTTTAATTTCACCACCGCCATGTGAGGGATCAGAAAAATATGTTCTTAATAATTTCTCACTAAGCTGTATAGGTATATTAGATACCCTTACACCATTCATTGTATCACATCTACAAAAAAATCAATACCATATGCTCAAAACAAAGCTTTAAAAACAATTGAATGGGGAGGCAGATGTCCCCCACCTCAATCCGAAAATAAATAGTTGAAGTTCATTAATTATTTGCACATTTATTCCTTTATAAAGCATTTAGGAATTAAATTGTTTATCAATCTGCATAACCTAAGCAGAAAATTCTCAATGCTGAAAGGCGGGGACAATAACCAGATCATTTACAATCATTACCAAGACACTACAGTGGAATGAACATGCCATGGATTTCCATGACCAAGAACAATACATTTCCTGTATTGGAGAATCCCAATTTAACTTTAATGCACCATAAATACAATTAAATTTGGAGAATTTCAGTGCAAAAACACATAAAAATTGGCAAACAACGATGAAAAATTTATCCAAAATTTACAAAATGCACCAAAAAATGGCAGCCCTATACTGTCCTGTATACAAAATCATTTTGAAATAAAATAAAAAAATCATTCCACAAAAAACACACAACATATATTGACAAAACTATTATGTCCGGCAATACTATATACCGGAAAACACCCGGAAAACAACGGAAAACAACCGGAAAAAACCATTTTATACTGAATACCGGAAAACACCGGAAAAACACTAAATACCGGAAAACATCCTAAATACCGGAAAACACCCTAAATAGGTAACCCAGAGCCTGGTCCTCTGTGTGCGGTTTTGGACCAAGTGAGCGCCGATGAAGGAAGGTCAAGGTCATGTTCGTTTTACAAATAGCCCCCCCCCCCCCCAAAAAAAAAAAATCCGATTTTTTTTTCTCCCAAATTTTTTTTACGAAAAAATTTTTCTGTCCCCCCCCAAAAATAGAATTTTTCCGAAAAATTGGTTTTACAAAAAAAACATTCCGTAGGAAATAATTTTACAGAGAAAAATACTGGAAACAAAATTTGAATTTTTTGAGAGAGAAATTTGGGAGAAGAAATTTTTAAAAAAAATCTGAAAAGAAATTTTTCTTTGACCGTAGGCGATCGCTCGCTTGTATGTTAATGAACTTATTTCATCAGCGCTCACCTGGTCCAAAACCACACACGAGGACCAAACTCAGCATTACTAAATACCTACCGGAAAACTTAGAAGAGTAAACTGTGCCCGAGATTTTTTTAGAGAGCGCGCCGCGCCGCTCCGGGAGGGATCATCGTCAGGGTGGGACGGGGGGTGGAATTGTCAAGTCACGTGACGAACATGGATCTTCCATTCCTCAACCCATATTATTTCCACAGTCATTGTCATTAATCACAAATTACGGGATGATATACGAAAATGCAGGTTTACTTTGAAATAGTGCAAATGATACTTTTCCATCTACAATCTTCAGATCAAAGGATGAAAGTTCTTACACAGTGTAGCATAATTTGTGCAACAGAAGACATCTCGAATATCGATTGTCGGAAAAAACATTTTCTCGGGGACATTTTTTTCCGATTACGCATTCGGTGTAAGTCTTCAGCCACCAGGAAGTGGTTAATATAGTAATGTTTTATTACGATAGTAGTACATAAAACAAATTGGTTGCCTGAGGTTCTCTGGGGGAAAGTAGCCTCATCGGCTAGAGTCCTCTATTTCACAAACAAAAACAACAATTGCTTCCTTGAAAATTTATGGATCAACCCTTTTCACAGACGTCCAGCTTACCACTTCCCGTCAATGCAGTAAGATAGAATATGTAGTTTCCTCATGGACAATTGGGCGAAAGTTGGGGTTTTCTCAAGGAAAACTGGTCAACGAGTTGGGGAATAAAGCTCGAAAAGTAATCCAGAAAAAAAATCCTGTGTGCAGCCCTCGGATTATGATGGAATATGTTGAATATTATTATGGTTCAAGTGATTATATTTGACCCTGGAATGAAAGTAAGCTCAGAAACAAGTAGATTTTTAGCCCTTCCAACGAGATGGATAGCTCTTGGAAAGGATAGACACTTTTCAGATTACAGCCTGTCCGAGAATTGCGTGGCATCAATTTTGTTTGGTGATTAGGACACATAGCGGTTAAACCTGGAACTTCAACTCGAACTATTCAGAGATTTATTAGCTCGCTTTTGATGATACTTGCTGTTTTATGATGCGATTTTTTGTTACCTAGGAAGGAGTTGGCCTAATCGTGCCTTCCACTAATTCGTACCACCCTGATGCCAGCGTTACTGGTAAGAATCAGGAGACCGGCGCAACCGGCATATAACGGGGCCCTCAGAGGGCTGTGTTTAATCTACTGAAATACTGAAACACTGAAATCTACTAAAATTTACTGAAAACTAAAATTAAAATCCAAATTAAAATATGGTCAATGATGGAGGTAGACTGATTGCGTCAATTAAAACATTCAAAACATAAAAGGCATCAACAAAATTTTGGAGAAAAAAAAATCGGAATTTTTTTTTGGGGGGGGGGGGGCTATTTGTAAAACGAACAGCGTAAAGACCTTGACCTTCCTTCATCGGCGCTCACTTGGTCCAAAACCGCACACAGAGGACCAGGCACCGGGTTACCTATTTAGGGTGTTTTCCGGTATTTAGGATGTTTTCCGGTATTTAGTGTTTTTCCGGTGTTTTCCGGTATTCAGTATAAAATGGTGTTTTCCGGTTGTTTTCCGGTTGTTTTCTGGTATATAGTATGGCCCATTATGTCTGTACATTTCCCTAACAATTTTGTTGTACAAATCTATGAATGACTAATTTCCAGTTCCTACATATGATGATTTAAAAATTATTTGGATTTTCTTAAAAAATTTGACCGTCTTCAATAGTCCAGTCGGAGCAGAAGAGTAGAACGTTAAATCCCATTTCATTTCATGTGAGCAAAAATAATAGACACAAGGCCATTTCAGGAGTGACATCAGTATATCTTTCTTTCAATAATAGGTTTGCATGTAGGCATAGCAGTGACAGGCGACACTACTCCATAACTCAATGACAGACCTGAGGATCTAAAGCATATGCATTAGACGACTCGCACCCCACCCCAAAATAACACATAAACAAAGCAGCACAAATTCAATAGAATAAAGAACGAACACATTAAATCAATATTTTCTACGAAATATTCTAAAGTACATTTACGTATGCACATGGTATGTAGTTCAGTGGTATCTGAAATATTTGATGACATTCAAAATGTATATTCATATGAAATGAAATGAAATGGGGTTTGACATCCTACTCTTCTGCTATGTCTTGGCTAAATGAAGACGGGAATATATTTGTATATATTGCAAATATGTATTACAAATGGCTAAAATGCATGCAAATATCAAAACAATCTCATCTGATCCACAAACGGTTGCAGTTTAATTCCATGCACGATCAACAAATGTAATATAATGACCATACTTATATAAGGCAATAATTTTATTCTCCAAAATTTAACAATAATTCGTCTTATGACTTATAACTAAATGTCTGGCAGTTTGTAATGAACCAATACCTGATAATTTGAACATTGTGATGGAAATGTATTAAAAATATCACTGAAAAACTGAAAGAAGACAAATCTGTGCTTGACAAAATATCAGACAAACCCTGAATTTGTGCCTGACAATGTCTGCGATGGGTGCTTTATTTCCAGAATTGGTCCTGCATCACACAAACAAATTTTATTACAATTTGCAAATATTCACAATGGTCCTTAATATCTTAAATATTGTCGCGTATTTATTCTTTTGTAGGTAATTGGGGCCATTTGGAAAACAATTTTATACAGATCAGATTATAATTTTTGGGTGTTTGAGGGCTCACAAGGTCTACAAACTGAAACATGGGCCTGTAAGTAATTTACAGAATTTGTTGAAATTCTACAGGCTTTTTTGTTTTACTTATTTAAATCATGCCTACAAATTTCATACACATCAGTTGATAACTTTTGTTGTTCGAACGTTCTCATGGTTCAACAAAGTAAAACAAGGGCCATAACTCTAGCAGTAATTGACAGAAATTGCTGAAATTCAATGGGCTTCTTTGTTTTACTAATTTAAATGATGCATATAAATTTCATACAGATTGGATAATAACTTTTGTCGTTAAAGCGTTGACAAGGTGGAACAAGGTCCATAACTTCAGAAGACATTAACAGAAATTGCTGAAATTCCATAGTCTTCTTCGAACCACTAATCTAAATGATGCATATCATTTTACAAAAAAAAAAAAAAAAATGATGCATATAAATTTCATACTGATCGGATAACTTTTGTCATTCAACCGTTCACATGGTTCAACAAATAAAAAACAAGGGCTAGAACTAATAGTGCTATTTACTGAAATTCAATAGATTTCTTTGTTTCACTAATCTAAATGATGCATATAAATTTCATACAGATCAGATGATAACTTTGTGGTTAGACCAATCACAAGGTTCAACAAAGTGAAACAAGGACCAGAACTCTAGATGTAATAAACGGAAATTCCTCAAATTCAATTGCCTTCTTCATTTCACTAATCTAAATGATGCATATGAATTTCATACAGATCGGATGATAACTTTTTTTGTTAGAGCGTTTACAAGAAATTATGGACGAATATAACATAAAAACTGCTCAAATCCTGTCTTATTTATCAAATATATAGCATAAACTGAAAGAAGTCATTAGCGGTGAGATGATTTTGGTGGATTAAATATATTCCATATTGGTCTGCCGTGATGTCTATTATCCACGGGATGTGGTCATAACGGTCTTGAGTCATAATGGTCAAAATCAAATTTTGTCAAAACGGCCCAACTTTGATCATAATGGCCAAACAGTTTGGTCATAATGGTTTTAGAAGACCCTTACTAATGATAAAATAGACTTTGTTTGGCGCACGGATTTTTGTAAAATTTCATCTTGCTGGAATATGAATAACAGAAACAATAAAACAATGATTATGTTGAATCATAAGTGAATAATATTTTAGAACTTTTTTTTTGGGGGGGGGAGGGGGGTCTGTTAATTGCTTTTGGCTCATTTTTTGGCATTCATTGAAATTTTAATCCAGTCATCAGTTTACTCCATCGTCGTAACCAAGAACGACGCATTTGTGTCCCATTTTATCAAAATTTCAAATTCAGTATTTGGTTCAGAGAACTACTGTTGAATTAAAATATATAACTGAACTTGATGCATTCTATACAGAATTATTTTTATTTACAACATGGTCATATTTGTTCTCTTTTTTTAAGATGTGCTACGGCCATGCTTAAATTTTGATATTGTCTTGAACTCTTTCATGGAACCACAGGTCACCTCTCTAATCCACTCTATCATTTACTATAATGCTCTACATGTATTTCCCGGCATTTTACAACCAAACAGATGTTATCTATTAATTGTTTGCAGTAAAATTAACACAAAACATAGCCTGTCGACTTCATACAGCAATGCATGTTGGTTACTGCTTTTACATACAGTGGTTGACTGGACCGTGTGCAAGATTTGACATATCGTCTGCTACAACGTAGTATATATCATCATTAAAACAACAACAAAAAATAATTTAGACATGATTTGAAATCAGTAATTTGTTATGAATGCTATATACAACTAATAACAACAGTGGCATTCACAAATATGTTTTCTAAAGACTAAAAACATTGTTTCCCTAGCATTTACCATGTTAATAAAATAAGACACGTCAAGAATAAGGCCAGTCTTCCAGAGCTAAACATAGACACCGGAAATACGCCAAGCGTAAAAGCTCCTGTTTCTTTTTTGGCCAATATGACCAAAATGTTTGGCGTTATGACCAAATCCTTTGGCCGTTTTAGTTTCGGGCTGTTGTTGTCCATAACAACACTTCAGAAACATTCTTCGGTGTCTTCTGCAAGTGCAACAGGGTATTTTTTTTTCATCTCTATGTCAGTTCAATGTAATTAATTTCGCTCATTTTGAAGAGCCAAAATTTTTTATATCACATAAATCTACAGCATTTGCCAAATCAGGCTTAAAAAATTCTTGAAAGTGAAAGGAATTCATTCAGATGCGAGATGAGTCACTCATACCAAAGTACAAGAACTTGAAGAAGCCAATTTTAGACGCTCGTGCTTATACAATTAGCACACCAAAATAATTCACTTTGTTGGATGTTAAATAACGGGTTAGTAAGCAAATTCCATACCAAACAATGCAAGCAATTGTCACATCTCAAATTCGTTCAAAAGTGAAAGTTAATTTGTTTACAAATTCCTTGGTTCCATTTTCGGAGCCGGAAGAAAACAACGAGTCAAGGTGAGAGTTATTTCCCTTCTTTTAACATTTATAAAACCTGATAAATCATAGATTATATTCTCTAATACTGATATCGATCAGCAGTATTAATTTGTATGCATTTCTTTGTTATATAATTAAAGGAAATTCTACAAAATGTCGCCTGAAACATTATCTTGTGAACGTTAGATAAATATATTTTATAATTCGTTTCGTCAAATTAAGTTAACAAATATTTAATTTACCAGTAAACATTGCTATTTCCGGTTTCAATGCATTATAAGGAAGTATTCTTGAAAAAAAAAAATGCATCGCCAAATATTAGGCTATAATTAATTCACCATTTCTTACAGTTCGGAGCAGGTCTTTTGTTATGATGGATTCACCGTTGAATTCGGTAAAATTTGATTGTGAAATAGGCCTAATTAAAATTGATAAATTATAACGTTCACCACCTGGACGGCACTCGAGACGAAAAAAATTAATTGATTAGGCCTATTAATATGTAACAGGCATTGTGACTGTCTGAGTAGAGCGAAGCTGATCATGTGATTGTTGTCAAATATAAAAACCTTCATAATTAGGTTTCTCGATTGATTTAAATAAATGTTAAATAATTTCGTTTTTCCATATTGATTTTAATTTAGATCTAAATTGTATGATTAATTTTGTTTTGAGAATTATTTTCATTGACATCAAAAATATGTGACATCATTGATTAGACGCGTCATAGAAAATAGTTCTGTGAGACGCATAATCTCGCTTGGTCGAGATTTGATAAGTTAACATGCACATTGCCCACAGTCTGTGAGTGACAGTTTCATTTACGCTATGTGATACCGGGAAAGAGCTTTGCTCAAGCACTGCACTAGATCAGAGACTGTTAAGCACATATGACTTCATATATATGCGGAGTGTGAGTTAGTCTAAGGGTTAAGGCTGCAGATTTCGTCAAGGTCTCGAGATGTAGCGTTCTCCATAATTATTATATTTAGACTATTATTAATTCAAAACCTGAAGTCAGAAATCCTTTTTTTAAAAAAAAAAAACCGTTGAGAGAATACTCTTCGAAACGTCGCCCAAATAAATCAGTAATTGTTCTTCCATAAGTATGTGTTATAGTTTATTGCTCTATCCAGTTACTAAATGCCTCTAAAAGATCAGAAAAAACCTTATTATTTCAAACTCTGTGTTGTCTCTCTTCTTACATCATTAGCCCCGTTTACACTTGGCCATGATAAGTGTGCCATTCTCGGCATGGTACCAGGCCGCAATAAATTTTAAGAAATTGACCCGTTTACATTACTCTAAAATAACCGTTCTCGGAACCGTGCAAGGCACGCCAAATGTGGAACTCTTCACAGAAAAGTTAATTTCAGTCCCTATGCAAATTACCCGGATGAAAACAATTATGGCGGTTGATTTAGTTTGGGCAGCTATTTTGACAGAACTGATGACAGAACTGTCAATGTTCACAGGAAAAAAGGTCATGGTTCATTTGACTCATGCGCAATAATCCGTACTGAGAACCATTCTCAAACCGGATAGCGTTTACACTACGAAAATTTAATTGTGCTGTGCCTGGCACCGTGCCGAGACCACCTCACTTCAGTGGGCCAAATTGGCAGTGCCTGGCACGCTTAAAATTTGTAATGTTAACAGGGTTTTTTTTCCCATCACTTTTGCCATGGCATTGCCAAGAGGATACTTGACATTTCAGCCCTGTGACATTTTTGCCTCAATAAAAACGTATCTCGACGTTTCACACTCTGGTGCATAACAGTTGTTACACACATTTTCAACAATGTTTTATTTATTCATCATTTATTATTGTCCGAAACTGAGTCTGAAATATCTTTTTATTATTGAGTCCAAACAGTCATTAAGTAAGTCCAAAAAGTTGTTACTGGTAAATAAGTCCAAAAAGTTCAAAACAAATGTTGGAAAAGATGGCAAAGTGGATGTTAAAAAACTCCAACAAATTGTGCCAAACTTTTCTGTTCTTTATGCGCAGCAAATTATTGTTATACATGTAGTTCAGTAAGCTATTAGAAAAAATTGGTGGTGAATGTTAAAATGTCTTCTTCAGGCACATCAGTTTGCAAGAAGAGCGGAAACCATGCTAAAAGCTGGAAATTTTGAAGGTGCTATACAATGTCATGCAAGTGCTTCAGGTAATAAATCTGTGTAAGATTTCTTACAAATTCTCATTTTCTAAATATAATATTCATATAGTGAAAAATAAGACAAAAACATCAATCTACCAGTGGAAAAATGCATTTGGCCTAACTTGCATTTTTATTATTAGAGATGCATTGTGCAAGAGATATATGGAGATATCAACTGTAGTTTGTATAGTAGGATTTTTGTGGCAAATAGCAGACCGTCATCGAGCGCTCAGACAGTTCTTTATTACTGACAGTTACTGCAATTATATCCAAGATGTGTAAATCCTAAAAGCCTTGTGGATAATGTTTACAATGTATGTTTATAAATAACTCTGTTTTTCCTATTTCAGAGTTGATTTTAGAGGCCATGACACAGACATCTTCAAACTATGCTCTTGAGTCTATGAACTTACAGCATCGACATCACCTCAAGAAAATGGACTTCATTCAAGAAAAGTGCAATAAGATCGAAAAATACAATTCCAAGCGAATATCTAAGGGGGACAATTGTGCAAATAAAGAATGTCAAACAGATAACATTGAAGCAAATATTAGAGACGCGCTCTTTGATGTTACTGACAGTCCTTTACAATTACAAAATGAAGTATATCAATCATTAGCTGAAACAGATACTTTGTTACATATTTTAGAAAATCGTTGCTCAAGTCTAACGGGTACGTCTGGGCTTCCAACCACTTTGGCCCAAAGACCTAGATTGAATTATAACAAGCATCCAAAAGACAGTCAAACAATTATCGAAGAATTAAATATTCACAACAACTTATTACGAGGTCATGTGGAACAAATGGTAACTGAAATTGAGCAGCTCAAAAAAGAAAAAAACACCCTGAGTCATAACTTGCAGGCAAGCAAAGAAAATAATTTAACGTGTGACATTTCGGAAGGACATTTTTTTCAAGAAGATTTTTATGACCTGCCTCCATTAGAGATGCCAACCTTGGATCCATTGTTCTTTCAAGATGAAACAAAGGAAACCGATGAAAACTTGCCGTGTGAAAAATTAAATGCGCTGACATTGAAATAAAATAAAACAATCAGTTGTGATTTTGAGAACTCTTTGCGCCAATGATAAAATAAATGTGATAACCCATCTATTTATGAATTAATGTTTATTATCGTTTTTTGTTATTCTACATGTATTTTGTATGATTCCATTTATGATAAAAAATGATATTCTTATACATGTATGAAATGAAATGGGATTTAACGTCCTACTGTTCTGCTCCGACTGGGCTAATGAAGACAGTGTACATACAGTGGACTCAGTCGCATCCGGCTTCTGAATCTGTCACATCCGGCTTCTGAATACTACAGCATTCTGTGATATCCGTTATTTCCTTATTACCTCAATCCCAAAAATTTGCATTGAATTAACATTGTATAATCCGGCCTTTAATCCTTTGGTGTTCACTTACAAAAGATTGATAGGCAATCACAAATCAATTATCAGTGAGATTAATACTCATGTTGGTATTTGTTGATTACCATGATATCGACATAAGGACGCACGAGTGGTTTCAACATCAAAGCCATTTAACGTTCGGCACAACTTGTCCAATTCTACAAATCTAGGGTACCGGAGTCTGCCACGGTTTGTCAAAGGAGCCTTGAAAGTTAATGGCGAAAGGCGAGTGTTGATCTCGGTACCGTTGAAGAAATCTACATACGCTTTCCGTCTATTATTGAAGGGTATTTTCCTGAAAACATTTTTAATTGTAATGAAACCGTTTTATTTTTAAGAGCATTACCCGACCGGTCATTGTGAGATAAAAGTGCGAGCATTGTAGCAACATAAATATTAAGTATTTGACACCAAATAGATACAACCGAAGATTATACTTCCGGTATTCAAAGGTACAATAATACTTCCTGTATTGAGTATTCCGTCATGCTCTGTAATCCAGCATATTTGAATGATCCCATTTGAATGGATGTGACAAGAGTCCACTGTATGTACACTTTTTCAAGGTATAATGGTAGTTTTATATAATACATTAAGGTATTTTTATTGTTCCATCAATTTTAAATATCCCAAACTTGACTCACTGACAGGTCTAGTGCATAAGCGATATCAAACTGATCAACAGTAAATAATGGAGATATTGAAATATGGTGGTCATGATAATAACGGTCAAATGTTTAGTACGTGTATGTTTGTGGGCAAATATTCAAAGCAGTATGTTTACAGATTCAAGAGCATCTTCTTGTCTGGCAGCAATATGCCCTAAAAAGTGGAAAAGGGTTCCATCCTGGTGTAAATTCTCTGGATTCGTACATCTGTTTCTAGTATGGAAGAGGTTATTCATAACCACCACAGTATTTAGGGTTAGTGGGTTAGGGAAACTTTATATTGGGACATTTTGTATAAGCACAAGGGTTAGGGTTATCTTTATTTGTGGTTATTAATAACTTATTCCTTTTTTAGAATTATAATTTTTGAAAGATCTGAGGTTGATGAGAAAATAAGTGAAGAACCAATATAGCAGCCATATTATTAAGGCAGCACTGTAACATCATTCCATAGTGGATAAAGAATACAATGTATTATTTTTTATATTGATTTTTAAATTCCTCTTTGACATATTTCATGGCAGTTCTCTTAAATCATATGTTTTTAATATTTTGGCATTGTTGTTGTTAGTGAGTAATATAAAGAAGTCTTTCAAAATGCAATGATTTCTTAAAATTATATGCAGTTACACATTATATGGCTATTGTAGTGGTAGTTAATTGTTTTGAAATTTATATGCATTATTACATTAATAGTAAGATGAAGAAGCTGGTCAAATGTTATACCTTTGAAAAACATTACATAATTTTGTTGCTTGGTTAGTCATTGCATTTTATTTGTGTGTTTTGTACAAGGGTCATATTGATATGATGTCTGTATCATCATGTGAGTACTCTTCAAGATATATTAATCATTTAATGTTTTTAAAATTTAGTGTGACTAAGAGGTCAATTGAATTAAAGTTACTTTTTGATTTACTTATCCTAAGTTGTTGCACATGACCACTTTATAGAATCTTATCAATGCTCCAACAACAAAATTTGCCAACTTGTTTTAATTACTTGTAGTGTTATTGCCCTTGCTCACTTTGTAGAATCTTGTAAATGCTTAAAGATGCATTATGTAAGATTTACATAAAGAGCTTGCTATAATAGTTAAAAGCTAGATAATGAATAGGGAATATCTTGAAAATTTTAGTCAAATTACTTCATTCTGAGCGTTGTTTGGGCTGTTCTGAGAATAGCGAAGTATTGGTTGTCATTGTTACGATAGTAAACAAAGTCTTGGTTATTCATTTTTTAATCAAGTCATTTACCACTAGTCGTATTTAAATCTGTTGAAATTCTCTAGCATCCCATGATATCGAAAGTTGATTATAGTCTTGACAAGTAAATAAATATCTAATTAATAATTTATGTAACATTTAAGGCCTAAAGAAAGACATGCAATTGGCAGATGTATCTCTTGTATAATGCATCTTTTAGAAAGTGATCATCTGCTCTGCTTGAAATTTGTATGCATTGCTCAGATTAGTGAAATGAAGAATCCCATTAAATATCAAACAACATCATCTATCGATCACTTTTGTGTTATGGCCCTTGCTCACTTTGTTGGATCTTATGTTCTAGCAACATTCTGCTTCATATTTATACACATTGTCAGTGAATGTTAATCACTTTTCAACTGGTTACTTTAATTAATTCGAAAGTTAAGGCCCTAGCTCTTTTGTAGAATGTTATCAAGGCTGTTAATAGTAATAGTCATCATCTGATCTACTTTAAATATATACGGTTTGTTTTAATTAGTTATTAATACAACATCAATTGGGTTATTACCAAAATTGGTATCAAACTATTTTTCCCAATGCTTGACAAATTGGTATCACACTAAATGACGGTCTGATGTCCATAGCTTCCATCTGTTGTATTGTAAATGCATGTTAATTTTAAATTAAAACATGTTATTTTCATACCATTACTGTCAAAAAACAAAATTGGGACCACTTTAATTAATATGTATTCCTTTATTGTTACTGCTTATGTTTTTAAGAAATATTTTCTAATGTAATTTAAAAATTTGTTGTTATTGATAATATGTACATATGTTTATGATATATGATACATGTGACTGTTGTGATTAAATAATTATCAATTCAGATTTTTTCCATATTTTTTTTTGAAATAAAACAAAGATCTATTTCCAAACTATCAAAGGGTGAGCATGGTGATTAGGTTAATTGCCTCAAAATTACTCCATGTGACATTTGACGCCAATCCAGTGAGTCATTTGTTGGGTGTGGATTTGTTTTTGAAACAAGCTTACGGTAATTAGTTTTTTTAAACAAGCTTTTATTCCCCAAGCAATATTTTATCAGTGAATTCAGCTTCCAGGGAAAGAATAGACACCCATCTGTTTTAATTCGGATGTAGGGTCGCTAGCCCTTATAATGTCCTTTAGATTGATAATTCCTGTGGCAGCTAATACCCTCACTGAGGCGCTATTACTAAATCTTGCCCCGCACCCCTTGCAGTGACCGTTCTTGCTGGTTTACAGAAATTGTGAAGAAACTTGTGCAGATTTTTTGAAGCTGGTCAATATCATATTAAATAGGCCACATACAGTATTATTAAAAACATTATTAAAACACACCTCTTTCTAGATTCCACTGAAATAATGATGATGGTTGACAGACATTATTCTGAATGAATTAAAACAAAACTTCAACCATTGCTATTTGGTTACATTTTATCTATTAAAATTAGTCCAGAATTCAAAACCTGAAATATGAATCATTTAAGTTGATTCAAATAAGTCGCTGGCTGTGATGTTATGAGGAAACTGTCAGGAACTGTAAACAAATACAACATCTGTTATAATAATCTTCTTCAGTCCACTGATTTATGTATTCACATTGCAGGTTGTTGATTTATGATACAGTGACTGACAGTTCTCCTGGTATCACCACAGCTGGTGTGTCAATTAAAGGCAAAATCAATTTCGCTTCAGGTTATTCCTACTCGAAACTATAGTAATACTTGATAAAAAATAAAATATAATAGTTCTCCTTCATGAGTTCTTTAGAAAGAATGATTGCAATACCAAATTATTTTGATGTAGTCCGATATATATACTAGTATATATTTCTAGTCCTGTATACAATAAGAAAACCATATTCCTGAAGCAATGGCCCAAGAAATCCCTCTCTGTTCATTGCTGGATTGGCTTCTGATACTTGAGCTTTTGAGGGAGTGTGTCTATTCTTCCCGTTCAATCAAATCTATCAAGTACAGCAACATGACAGCCCTTCGTTTAATCTGGGGTCTTCCCTAAACTTTAGACAGTGTTTTAAGGTATTAAAAATGGTGAGAGTATTGTTTGTCTCCAAACAGTATTGTTTACAATGTAGCCGTTTGATAGCCTTGTTTGTCCCGCAATTAGTTTTTCTGCAATATTCTGCTATGAACTGGTTAATTGGGCGTTATAAATTTCGTGAGTCCCGATGTACCGTTATGTAAATATATTTGGTTCAATTTGGAGCTCTGTTTAAAGCCGAATAATATTTAGTACTCAGTTTGTTATTGGTTGTTAATCGGACTATTGACCAGTCATAATTTGGAACAGAAATTTGCTTCCATTACAGCAGTGTTAAATGGGATTAGGTCTAATTAAACGAAACACTGCGAAAAGTACTGTATGTAAGAAAACCAATGCATAAATTTTTACAGAACTCCATAAAAATCAAAACAGCCAAAAGAGACCAAGCATGTTATAATTTGATAGTAATTTTTGAAATCACGGCATTAAATTATTTGTGAATAAAGCTTGCTTCCTGGTAATAAGGCAATTTTCTGGTTTAAAAAAAAAAGGGTGTATGTTCACATAGTGTAGCCTATGCATGGATCTTACATTATAATAAGGTCCATGGTGTCCACGTCTCCATTAGCCAATTTGTGCAGAAAAGTGGGAAGTTAAACCTTATTTCATTTCTGGTTTGAAAAGCATTTATTTTCACCCAAAAATAACAAACATGATCAAATATGGTTAGTTCTTCTACAATTATAGGAGAAATTATAAATAACATATTAATACATTAATATTCATTTACTTATTAAAAGGTTCCTTTGATAAACTGGCTAAGAATGTCAAATTAATAATTCTGTAAAACATGAAATTTTGCTCCAGGAATTCAATACAATAAAATATTAATGCGACTTGAAAATTTATATGTAATGCACTGGCCAATCAACTGCAATCTAAACACTGATATCATGCACACAATAAATTCTTGTGGTTACCTTATAAAGGATAAGCAACACCTAGAAATGATAACATTTTTGCATGCTATTTAACATCCACGATAGCCAACTCACATTATCATAAATTCCTTGTAAGATCATAACTTTCATGATTGTAAAATTAAATTTGTCTTTTGATAATTTCATTGACAGTATTTGCACTTGTGCAGCATAAGAAATCAGCGATTCTTATAATCTCTAAGCTAATATAATTAGATTTATCGAAATATCCTGTTTTCTGGAAGTTGCCAAAAATAGGACATTAAAACCCATTTCATATTATATTTAATCGGTATAGAGCAAAATTCATTTGTTAATTAATAATCATTGTATTCTAATTAATTTACACTATCTTATTATTACTATTTTACAATTATGAGTAATCACAGATGCGGCTAATAACAATAACAATTTTAACCTTTAAAATTAACATAGGCTACAGGCTTTATAATAAGGACAGGGCAAAACATTTTTAATAACTATGAAAATAGTACTTTTATAATTACTGTTCAGATCACTATAACCAAGTTCAATACAAACATCATGTCGATGGTTTCTACATTTCATTATCTAATTCATTATTCCACTGAATTTCCACAAAATCATAAAAGTCCAAAGGTCAATAAAATGATCACGTCACACAGGTTTTATTCAGAAATTTCTGCTTGCAAGACATCAAAGGATGTTAAAAAAAAAACAAAAAAAAACACTAAGGGATGTACATTATAATTAAGTGAGTCATTTTGTATGTTTTCTTTCAAAGTGATAAATCATGCTAAAATATTTGTCTGTTCTCTGTTGAATACATAAATGTAGATTGTATTTTATATTCCTTGTTTATTCACAATGTAAATGTAGGGTAACATTTTTAGGCTGATCAGCAGGCCATCGACAAACTGGACAGAAATGATTATCTCTGTTCAACCAAGATAAAATGCACTTTTCATGAAATGAATGTCTGCAAGGAAGGCCACATAATATTATGCCGTGCATGTAGTCATCCAAACAGATAACACATTGTGTGTTTGGTAGATAGCCAGGTGGAAAGCAAGCATTCATACAAATATCGGCCATTAGCTTTCCATCATATTGGATTTCTTTATTCATCTTCTCAGTATCATAAATTCCAGTCGATCCTATTTCTTCAATAGTTTTACCAGCCATCGTTCCTTGATTTGATATTTCTAGCCTATTTGGATCTTTGCTTTCAGTAGTTGGGAATTTTGAAACTTGGAATTTCCAAGTCGGTAATTGTTGAATGTAATCAACTGATCCAGAAGGTCTCAACCAAAGGGTCGGACTTGAAATTGAACCGAATCTGCCAAAACCAGCTTCCAGCTGACCAATACTATCGGCTGGCCGAATCAGGTGTTCCAAGGTTCGCATCTGATTAAAGTTCCATAAATCGTCTTCTTCGGGACTGTCCGCTTCTGTGCCATTATCACCTTTTTTGTACTGGACAAATCCAATGATTAAGGCATACATGAGAAATGAGGATGCTAAACTGAAAACATGTTTGGTGTAAAATAAGAAATCTTTTCGGATCAGACTTGCGAAGGAAGATGTTGAAATGAAACGCACAAATTTTAACCCAATCATTATAAGTTTCTCAAAATAAGGAAGTGAAAATAACCCCACCAACGGTAACCACATCATTATCAACAAAACATTATATTTTATCACACACCATAAAAGTTTCCGCAGTCTTTTGAAAAACGTTCCCTGAACCTCGAAAAACTCAAACCAACTCATAACATTAACGATAACAAAACTAAGAATAAACAGATCATTCAGGGATGGGTAGAGTGATTTTAAAAATATTTCTAATGACTCAAACGTCAAATATTCCCCTCTTTGTATTCCATAAAGAAATTTATCTTCGGGTGTGATGATAAGATAATGTGGCAATGGTCCGGATGTCTTTGAATTATTCTTAAAATAGGACGAAAATTCATCTTTAAGTGAATGTTTCATATCAGCTTTTCCAAAACGGACTCTGCCAGGAAATCGTAAACTTAAAGCAGAATAAAACATCGGCATCACTCCTTCTTTGGTAAATAAAACAGTACGAATTTCCGGATCCAGAAAATTATGTTTATATTTCAACCAATTGTATTTGAACTCTTTGTAGCTATTTATTGTGTTGATTTTTTCATCTAGTTTATCATGAATCCAAATATTGATGGCCGACTCTCTAGGAGAACCAGTATAGGTGTGCATCTTGACACTGGCTTTTGTCTTGAAGTCTTGTGGTAAAGCTAACAGTAATCGTGGTGATGTTAAACCTCTAGCGTGGCAGTACCTGTAAAAATATCATTAAAACGGAATTAGAAAATACTGATTAACTTCTTATATCAGAAGTGTTATTGGGTGTTCTATAGACTCATGCATCCCATCTGTCTGAGACCACTTTTGAAATATAGCGTAAGTAGTTGAATGTAACTTAGTTATGATATTGATAGTAGAACCATGGACCATATAATGCATTATACATGTAAGGTCTATGGTATAACTACATGACCATTTAAATGTGGTCTGCCATTGTGCACAAATACTACACTTGTAAAAATCTAGAGATAGCCACAATTAGCATAAGAAACAATTTTGCATTTAAAAGTACGAATCCCTTTAATTACTATCACAAGTGTCTAAAACCAGCTAAGGGCAATACATTATAAGGTCCATGATAACAAATAACCCCCAAACAATGTTATAAATATCACCTGGACAATCCCCATTCAGATGTTTGTTGTAAATGATCCCCTTCAGGCTTGCCCAATTTCACCCCCTGCAAATCATGCCTTTTTTAAGAACAAAATAGTAATTTTTTTCACAACAATGGCTTGTAATTAGTGCCCTTCTCAACAGCAATACAAACCTTGGATATCTAGTACAGTCCATAACCCCTGCACGAACACCGAATCTCAAAACCCTCTTTTTTATTGATTTCCAGGTTTGGTCCGAAATAAATCTCAGGTTGCTGGTTTCACCCATAGAAACGAAAATCATCCAAACACTATCTTTTGCGTCCTCAACTTGTTCATAAAAATGAGCCCCAGATTCAAAAACAGTTTCATCAGTAGATGATTCCTCAGATAACGAGAGTTCAACTTCATCTTCCATGGCTGGACCTGTAAAATAGTAATAACTTGGTAAGCTTACACTTTCACGTTTTGGTTCAATGGGTACATAAACTACAATGTGTACATGTACAAGTAATTATTCAAATAATGCCACATGTATATATTGGTTTCAGGCTAATATTGTAGTAAACTTATCACCAGTTACACTATGTAATTTAAAATTACCTGGAGGTTTATCTTGTGCAAATCATTACTCTAGATCTGCTGTGGTAGTACTTACAATGTATAATTATAGCACATTCCCGATTTATTTATTTATTTTGGCAAGAGACATATCAAACATGACAATAGAGGTGATAATATAAGTTACATGATAATAAGATGAGAAAGTTTTGATGAGAGAAAAAGTAATGTCATGAATGACCAGCCTCTTGAGGATAACCCATAAATTAAATTAAAACTATGTTTATTTCCAATGGGGTCCGATGATCTGAAGTAGGCCCTGTTGTCTTATAAAAATACTTTATCATTCAATCTGATTAAAACACAGGTCCTATTTCGTTTTGTTTTAATAGTTCAAAGTTTCGTTTTAATTGTCTTTACTACACTAGGACATGGAAGAGTTGTTATATTACCAGCGTTCTGGTTGAAGTGTGTTACGGCAAGTTCTTGGCGTGCGATGCACGGAACTGTGGGTAAACCACTAGAAACGTCAACGCTGATTGATTAATCAATATCTTATGTTGTAGGTCAAAAGCCGCTCGCACAACCCCTGAAGCAACCTTCCAGTACAACTGGTCAGATCTTCATGTAGTGTAGGGCATTGAAAGTATAAAAGAACAAAATGAAATATAGATCTGTATTTTAACCAGATTGATTATCATTCAGTGTAACTTCAAGTCTGCATTAAATTATATGTCCTTACTTTCATTAATGACCTAAGAAGACAAAATTTATAATGATATTAATAAAACAATGAAGGATCAGATAATTTTTTAAAAACCTGTATTACAAATATCTCATCATGCAAGTTAAAGCAAACAGGTAACTATTACACAAAGTATGGCTTCTAATTAGTCAGTAATCAGATTAAAGCATTGTCCATTATTATTTGTAAGCTTAAATGCATTGAGCATAGTAACATGAACTTTAGTAATGGATTCTTATTAGTTCTGGCTTCTATTTGTTACTATCTCTTTCATAAAAGATAACATTCCATTCCTAAATTTGGAATATTGGCTAAGCCACGAACCTGTGACCTCCGGTCTGTGCAGACATGAGTTTCATAATGGTGGATTAATTCAAACGAATCTTGTTTGTGCTTTTTGATCGTTAAATTCTACATGAAAACAGTGTTGGATTATTATAAATTTGTGTCGGATGTGGCAGGAAATGATTCCTTTTGGCAAACAATGAAGAATCATGGTGAAAAATAAAGAATTCCAAAATTGCCTTAGAACCGAGGTGGGGGAAAAGTCTTATTTTCATATTAGATGTGCATAGGAAGAGACAGTAACGGATAGAAGTCAGAGCCGATAAGAATTTGTTACTAAAGTAACTACATTAAGCAAAGAATAGGCTAGATATAATTAGTAGATAAGTACTATGAAATCAATCAAATAAAATTAAACAAATACCTACTCTTCATGAGTTTATGTAAAGCTTACAATCTATATTATGTAAAGACACTAAAAATTAATGTAATGTATTTTAAAATTACATGTATCAATGTAAAGTTTCAGTAGTTCATAATGGATTCCTAGAAATAGTAATTATTCTACTACCAGTACTGATAACTTCCTTCTTTGACTCCAGCCTCAAGGTTTTAAGCAGGTTTTGTAATCATTTAAAAAAAAGGTACAGTGGAAAATAAAAATTAAACCGCTTCTAAAATGTGAAATGCCTTACACAAATTAAGAGAAATGATGTGATTAATTAAATGATTCATAAAAGCATCGTGATAAAAGCATTACTTCAACACAAATTACAAGAATATGTGTTGCAAATCATTCGGTCCATTATAAAGTGCATGGTTGAGGCTTGAGGATATTACTTGCACAAAGCACCATTACCATTGAATGAATTACCAATTGTAGTGTAGATCATGTTAAAGCTAGTCCCACTGATAAAAGCATTTAGGGTGGATAATCTAAATCTTGTTTGTGTCATTGTTATATATTTACTAGTTCAGCTGAAAGTAGGTCTCATTACACTCGCCAGGTACGTTTAGGAATCGGCCTAGTGACTCCTTGTCGAAAAAGGTTCAGCCCCCATTAACTTTTACTGTTAAAAGGTCATGTGTCAGTCCCTGTAAACGCCTGTGCAATGTAAAACCCAAAGGAACAGTTTAGTGAGAAAATAAGACTTTGCTTACCTCGCTATAGAGTCAGCATGAGCGACACTACACGCTGCTGAACGTATAGGGCAAGTGTAACGAGAACTTGCATTCAGAGTTGAACTATATATTTACCTGTTCCTTCTACCAACTGTGTAAGATCAGACTTTTCAACTACACTATCATACGTGACTCCTCGTTGATGCAACAGGGCCTTTAATTTCATCACTGAAAGAGTCATTGGGTCCAGCAATCGACGTGACAGCGAACCTGTTTCGTACCATGTCACGGCCTCTATTAAGCGAGCAATTATGAACAGGGCTGTTACATAAATTAATAACAAACAAAGCTTAAGCCACATTCTATCGGTAAACGATTACAGCATTCTAAAATTAATAGCCTTTCTTGAATGACAGTAATCCGAGTCGTGCGCATTGACAACTTCCGGGAAACCGATAGTGTTGACACGTCAAGCAAAAGTTGAAGATAAGATTTAGCCGGTTGTTATCCAATGACTTCCGCTAAAAACAATGAAATTGGTGTCTTCCTGACATCAGTGACCCTTCTATCAATATTGTAGATCCATTATCATCAACACACCACTAGAAAAGGATCTTTCCTATCATGAACATTTACAGCCCCCGACTCCACAAAAAAAATGGCGGAAGTAAATATTTAGTCACGTGATTTCGTTAGGTTTTCTTTTTACAATAATATGACTCTAATTAATTTTAAAGTCTAAAGCAAATCGCGTGCTAAACAACCCGTTAGAACTATTTTGAAACAGTTTTAACGTAACACATTCCAACTCCCCAAAACAGATATTATTATTATAATGACCGGGAAAATCAGGCAAAACAGGTTTGACAGACTGAGAGACGAATCTGAAAAAGAGCAGACGCATTTTGGGACTTGTATGACCAAGTCTATGCTGAGGAACAGAGTTATCTTCTGTTTATAGGATAGGGTGCATAAATTTTATCAAATCTTTCTTAATAACAACACAAGTAAATCATATAAAACATCATTATTTAACACGATTTCTAGTTCCTGTTGCATGAATGTAATTGCTGGGGAACAGGTAACATTGTCATTATTTTAGTACAATGATCGAGATGACAAGGTGTGTGTTGAAAACGGAGAACATGTTCATTTATTTCTTTAACTTTGTTTGTGTGTCATATTTTGTGACATTCAATATGACCTGTGCCAGATGAAATAAATAAATGAAATCTAACTCCAGTCCAACTTCCAAATGAAAAAAAATTAAATATCTTGTAAATGTAGATGTTTTAATAATAATAGACATTCACATAGTTTATTTTCTTATCTACAGCATTCTGTTTTTCAGCTGGAGAAATGGACAGAAGAAAAGTTTTGCAAAATGAAGAAAATAACACATCAAACCGTGACAACTCATCTTTAAACTTAGGGACATCAAGTCCTGATTTAACCAGAATGATGACACCAACATTATCAGATGATAAAACAGACACACTGAGCACAGACATTAGTTTAGACTTCTCTTGTACAGAGATGTCAAAATTTGAGACCGATTCTATGTTAAATGCAACTTTTAATCCTGATCGGGATATAGACAGAAGCCCTGATACAGCTTGTCTACAACTTCAGTCTCCTTCTCCTTTAGATTTATCAATCACCACATCATTTGAAAATTCTTTATCAGACTGTGGGGTGTCGTGTTTTGATTCTGAAAGTGGAGGAAAAAATGCCTATTCATTTAGCAGCAATGTAAATTCAACTGAATCAGATACTTTTGTGAATTTAGATGAAGCATTAACAATTGATACTTTGTCTAAACCAGATTTATCAAAGGTTGTTCCTTCAACATCTGTTGGGATCACCCATCCGCCAGTTATTTTAGGAAGTATAGGTGCAGCTAATTTTGTGACAGCTGTTTTGAATAAAAATATGAACACTTCAGAATCGCAAGTACCAGTTATAAACAATATGATTATTCCACCTACTTCTTTATCTTTGACAACTCCAGGAATTTTAGTTCTGAATCCATGTGCATTATCTAGTGGCTTAGTTAATCTTTTTCCATCAAATAGCAATAATAATAGTGTGGACTTGGCAAGTAATAATAAACATCACGATAACACTTCTGCCTCTATTATTGATATGTGTCCAGGACCTATCAAATCCATTCTATCTTTTCTGACAACAAAACCTCAAAGTACAAAAACAAGTGTCTTTACCGCTTCGTTTGATCAAAGCAATACATTTATTTCCCAAGATGCATCCCCTTCAGGGTTGATTTCAACATCAAAATTGACAGAAAACTGTACAAAATTACCTGACATTTCTGAAGTATGTATTCTGCCACTCGAATCTGAACATTTGACTATAACAGACGCTGAATCTGAATCCGATAATAAAATGGAAAATCATGAAACCAATTTAATAGTAGAAAAAAACAGTGAATATATCCACGAAGACAACGGTGTCTCTCCTGCTAAAAAACCAATGTTGATTAAAACTAGTGTAATTGATGTATCAGATATTAAGGATACTGAAATGGAATCAGATGATGACTGTACCGATATTTTAAACTGTGACAATATATGTGATGAAGTAGACGGTAATGTGATCACAGCTGACAAAACAGATGAAGTTGTCAGTGAAGCAAGCATCAAAGTTAATAAGATGTTAACACGCCAATCAAACATTCAAAATGAAAGTTTGGAAATATCTGATAAACAAAGCACTTCAAAATCTGAATCTGAAAATATTTCAGAGGAGCAAATCAATTCTAAAGAAGTGTCAGAACCAGAGATACAAAATGTAACCAAAAAAAAGAGAACAAGATATAATAATTCTGAGAGAAAAATTAAGAAATCTGTTAATTTAAAGTGTGATTTATGCAGTGCTACATTTTCTAAAACTGGTAATTACCATAGGCACAGAAAGATACATACCATTGCAACTGAGGTAGGTTACAGACATTTCCTCAACCCATTTTTTTTCTATCTCATACCATGAGCCTTAATTATAGGGTCCATTCCATATGCTCTCATTCTGTCATTTTTCAAGGTGGCTAAGTGGATAAAGGGCTGGATTACTAACCAGCAGGTCCAAGGGTTGATCCTGATGTTTGTCGAAAAAGGTCCTTGAGATTTTCCACTAGGAAAGAGAGTCTGGCAAAGAACAGCATCTAAACATTTGGATGGCTCAAATAAAATCCAGAAGTCTTGTATGTGTGTGTTCATGTACATGTTGGTATGCATGTAAAAGGAGCCTTGGCAATGGGATTTCGACAAGGAATAGGCAAAAACTCTGTTGTGCTGTCATAATTAACCGGCTTGGTGCATAAAAGTAGAACATTAAACACCATTTCATTTCACGTAAAAAATGTGAGCTCTGCTGGATGGTTAATATTTCAAACAAATACCTTGTAGTTGTATTTAGTATTTTTTTATGATTCAGATTATTGAAGTATTTTGAATGTTATTGCAGGGAGAAGATTGTCGTTTCGCTTGTAGTCAGTGTGATCGTAAATTTTTACAGAAATGTGATTTAAAACGTCACATGTTGATACATATGAAAAAAGAACCATTTCGCTGCGAAGTTTGTGATAAAGGTAAGAACACTGATCTTCAAGTAATGTGATTGTCATATATGAAGCTTGAGCCTTTAGCGGAAATGAATCCTCTGTTTATAATTCCATGACTATATAATTAGCTTGATAACGTTGAGAGAATACTCTTCGAAAGGTCGCCCAAATAAATCAGTAGCTGTTTTCCATAAGTACATTTTATGTGTTATAGTTTATTTATCTACTTAGTTACTATATGCCACTAAAACAATTTGTTGTTCATTATGACAATGTCTAATTTCAGGTTATATTCGACAGTCAGATTTGAAAGTTCATATCAGATTTCACACAAGAGAAAGAACTCATGCCTGTGATACTTGTGATAAAAAATTCTTCCAATCAGGTGGGTAGCCATTAAAGAAGGTAAACGTCTTTGATTTATGGAAAAATAATGTGTTGAATTGGGTTAATCTGATTTTGATGGGACAATTAAATTTCTTGTTTTAAAATTTGTTTTCTAATTTCGGTTTCATATCGACACAGAACACACAATCTCAACAATAGCTTTATTTGAGGACGTAAAATTTGTCTGACCTGGTCACATATGTCAATAAAAGACTATAAATATTGGTAAATGATTGTAGTCGTTTACTTTCATTGTTTTTGGAGACTATGCAAAAACAAATTATGCTATAATTCATAGCCAGCTACCATAATATAAAATGTATTTCTAATTTTTCAGGTGATTTAAATCGTCATAAACGTCGTGTTCATGATGAATCGGCTGGACTAGTTTGCGGTCATTGTAAAAGGAGCTATGCCAAGGAGACAACGCTTATTCGTCACATGCAAGACAACCATAGAAATCTTATATTGAAGTGTTTGAATGACCGAGTAAAAACTTGAGAAAGAGAACTATTGCTAATATGAAGAGGTGATGAATGTGATATGTAAGGGAGATAACTCCATAATTACAACACTAGAATTTAGGAACTAGACCACCCAAAATATTCACCTCACTGGCTGTGAAGCAGTTTCTCCAATTTATGTTCTGCCCACCCCTCCTTTGCATGGCAATTTTTGTTAAGTTTTTGGTGAAGAATTGAAGAAAAGGGTTTGGATTTACATTGCTACCAGGTTAGGGTTGGTTAATATTCATATTTTGACACAGAAGAATAAGAGTTAAGAGGTTGGTTATGTTAAAATGGATGACAGACACTTACATGTTACATCTCAAGAGTTCCATGGGCAACATGTCACATGATTTTGGGCAAGATGTTGCCACATGTTGCTCCAATGATGAAGTCTATGGAGATATGTGGCTAAAGATCAAATATATTAACATTACCTACCTTAAACCACCAAGAGGGCACATTTGTGTAACATTTTGAATATTAATAGGTTAAAAAACAAAATATATACTTGAGCTGGGGCTGCTGATTACATTTGTTGCTGTGTTTGCAAATTTAGAAGGTATAATGTGTTTAAGTTAGTTGTGTGTATCTTGCGGCTAATATTTTAGATTTGCCAAACCCATTTGTGAATCCATATGCTAAAATGTACTGAAATTGAATATTTAACATTTGATAATCTCCAGTCTTGGATTTAATTTGATTGAAAAGAGGCCAATCAAAAGACTTTATACATCACTAAGGATTCAACTTTCACAATAATGTAGTTTGTAAGGTATTCCATATCCCTCAAAGGACATCTTCACCTTTAAGAGTTTGTGTTCAAGTGACACAAAGGGGATTAAATATATATGAATGTACATGTGTTTTATTGGCTGGAACCAGTTTTTATTATTCAAGAATATATATGTAAAATCCCATTGCATGGTTTTAGTGCAAGCAGAACATTCTGTTTTAAATCACGATTGAATCCAAGCTGCGAGATTGTCTAGCCTGATCAAATGATCAATCCAAGTACACATTAACATGGATTAAGCCATGAGAAATTTGATATTTTAGCATACAATGCAAATGTAGCATCGGTACTGAACAAATTGTCATTACAGTTTTTTCTTTAATAGAAATGTAAATATTTAGAAATGTAGTATAATTTCTGTGATAAGTGATAGAATTTTAATTAACTTTTTATATTAAGGTTCTGAAGATATTTAGATTTAAATTATTGGACAAAATTTATGAAATATATAAATTTATATCCAGGGTGAATTGATCTTCATCGGCCGGAATACTCATTTAATTCATTTTTCTACACATTGTTTAGACGACACGTTTAAGTGTTATTTATAACCAGTAAAATATGTCATCACCACTGCCGTGACTGGCATGATTAAAATTACAGTTTATCTTCAGATTGTTTCAATGGCATTTAGTAATTGAACGTGAATATACAGATCACAATTCTATGGAATACAATTACTGCTTATTACTGAGCGACGTTTCGACTAGGCTTCTCTAGTCATTATCAAGCAATGATAAAATATAGCAAGACAATATATACATGTAAAAATAGATACTTGGTTAATGCTGACCAACCAGAGACACCTTTTAACTATACCTGCATTGAATTTACATTCATGTACATATTTTCCTTCTGTTTTTTATTTGATCGATGATTTTGACTGCCACATCTCCATACTGATGTATATCTTCAGTATTAAAGATTGTCACCTAAGCTCCAGGATGTGAAATTATCTTTGAATCTGAGCCCAGAGGTTAATATACTGTACATGTACATTTATCAATCAGTAAGCTGTCTTTTTGTTATTACTAAATAGTAATATGATTTCTTTCAGTTTAGATTACCATTAATTCACATCTAACCTCACTGTCTAGAATCAGGAACCATGAAACTTTCTATCTGTATACATAGTTGAAAAAAACATCTAGAGGTGATTTGATGGTTTGTAGTAATCATGTCAGAAATCGGTGTCGATAAATTCATTGATTAGGGTAATCAATTTGAATTAGATGGACGTTAAAGATGAAAATTTGATTGAATCCAAATCACTTTGGCTAATCAGTGGTCGATAAAAAGCCTTTAATCATATTGATATATATGTTAAACCAATGTTTTAAAGATGCATTATGTAAGATTTAGATAAAGCGTTGGTCGTTCTCACTATAATAGTTCAAAAATAAATAATGAAAAATAAATATATGTATTGAATATTTCAATCAAATTACTTTATTCTATGCGAAATTATGTGTGTTTGAAGTTTTAAGCAAATGTAGTGTAGATGGTAACAACTTTATTCTATGCGAGTGTTGTAAATTTTAAGCAAATGTAGTGTCGATTTTTTATTATCGTAGCAACCGTACTTGATAGTCGAAATTAAGTCACGATTATCTTTTTTGTATCCTTAACTATCTTAAATGGCTACAGTGTTCTGATCTACTGAAAGTCTGAACCCAGAGTGTTGATTATGGGCTGTCATGTTAATAAATGTTTAAAAAATAATTTATATAACATTTGAAGCCAGAAAAAATAACTGCTGTAGGCAGAATTAGCTCTTACTTAAAGATAATGCATCTTTAATTAAATAAACTGTATTGTTTTGGATATAATGTACATGTAGGCCACCTTGCCAGGGAAATATATATGAATGATATATTTTGTGTTCGATAATTATGTATTATGTACTTGTTAGTTTATAGTATTTACTACATATTGTTATATATTTGTTATTGTTTATTATATATTAAAATATAGTAATATCTATATTAAAATATAGTAATATCTGTATTAAAATATAGTAATATCTGCTATCTTTGTTTTATACATAATGGAGTCTAAGAGCCACGATGGCTCTATTCGATCTTGGTGTTGGCTGGATAAGCACCTCAGGATTTTCCAGCCCTTGGTTACCCCTTTGTCAGTGGTGTAGTTCTTTGGATGAGATGAAAAACAGGTCCCCTGTACTAACAAAAAGTAGGTCGTAGTGCCGCTGTTGGAGAAAAATTATCCTTAAAGCACACTGCATGGCATATATACCATCTTCATTAGCCTGGATGGGGCAGAACAGTAGGAGGTTAATCACATTATTACTGTTACCCTATGTCAATGGAGGATGCAGGATATTTGGTTTGTGGAGGTGGTCAATGGTGATTTGTGGCACATATCTGGACCCAAATATAACATTCAATGTCATCAACTACACCACCCCAACCAACAAAAAGACCCAATTTACAAATTTCATATAGAAACAGAATAATAAGTGTATTTTATATTGTCCTATGTGACAATATGTGACAATGTGAACATTCTCTAGAGACTACAACTGATTTTTATAAAATATATTCCATGTTCTCTGTGAACCTTTTACAATGTTTGTAGAATCCTGGGAAAGCACATTAAAGATACATTAGTTAAGAGTTTAATAAAGAGTTGGCCATTTTCGCTTTAATAATTCAGAAATAGATGATAAAAAAAGAAAATACTGAAAATTTCAGTCAAATTATTTTATACTGGACGGTGTTGGAACTTTGGACTAGAAATAGACACGTACTGTGTCCGCACCGTCTACGAGAATTGACGATAACCCCACCCACATATTCTTGATTATCAAGTAACATTCTCAATGGCTATAGTACCCTCTCTTGGTAGGCCTTTCATCACCAGTTTCCGGTAGTGACTAATGGTAAACGTTAGCTTGGAAGGCCATTTATTGATTTAATTTTAAATGGACGACTGTTTAAATTCAAGCTGTATTTAGCTCTTGCGTAATGTATGTTTAATTAGACAGTTCCTGTCCACCCTTAACAAGCTGCAATATGAAAATACCTTCTATATTTCACAGTAAATCTTCTCTTTTCGCCAAAAAGGATCATTTCTCGCCACATCTGACACAAATTTATAAGTCCAATTTTGCGATATAAAAACGCTCGTGGCGTGTGCTATACCGATGCACGATGTAGTTGAAATTGCCATTCATCACATTTGCTGAATTTTAAATCATAAGTCAACACCATTTTATAATATATAGAAGTTATATAATTAAGACCAGAAGTGTTTTGAGCGTAAGCCCTGTCTATGTAGTTATTTTTCTCCCATAGAACAGGGTGGAATTAGGGGCGCTTTCACACTTTTGCAGCTCTTCCAGTTCCCGTGGTCATAGAAAACTTGTAAGGTGCGAAAGTGCAATAGCACCTGACCAGATAGGCTGTACTGTGTTTTTTTTGCAAACATAGCCTCGGTTACTCAGTGATTAAGACTCCAGTTCACTAACCAAGAGGACTTGGGTTCGATCCCTGTGTTGGCCGATAAGGTTTCTCGGGATATACCGGCGCGGTTTCCCTTTGTCAGCAGGGATCAGCAAGGAACAGTGTCTATTCGTTCTGATGGTAGAAATAAAACCATCAAAACAACAGGTTCCGTTTACATATTTGCGCGCACGTAAAATAACCCGTCAGTTGGAATTCGAAATGAGAGTAAGCTGTGCCCGAGAAAAATATCCCTTATAGCACAATTCATGGCGTATGCTCGTCTTCCTTAGCCCAGTCAGTGCTAAACCCCATTTCATTTCTGTTGGCAATTTAGTAGCATTTTACCTGCAAGTAAAAAGGTCTCTATTTAGTTATATTTGAAGTGGGTTTTTTTCTTTCTTGTCCAATCAGATTTGTACTCTTGTATTTTATATTATAGTTGTCCTTGGAGTGATAGGTCGACTTTCTATGACATTTTTCTAGATCCCAAACATGAATTTTGTGACCCAAGATATACATTTTAATCAAACAAATTGCACTAATTTCTTCAAATTTATAGGATACAAACCATGAAACCATCGGCTGAAATCTCACTGTTAGTGTTTAGCTTATTTGACTAGGGCCTATACCTTCTTTTACATTTAGCAAAATGGTTACAGTCATCAGAAAGAATGTGGATTAGTTCTATTAAATGTCGTTTATTTCTACTTTATGGTTTCTTGAAATATGTTAGATATCGACCACCTGTAATAAACACTATTCATTGTTTATTACACTGAAAAGTCATTATCAAACATTATATCAACGCAAATAAATGGCAGTGTAATAAACTATAGTACTTGTTATATACATGTATATCCATAAATAAATATCAACGCAAATAAATGGCAGTGTAATAAACTATAGTACTTGTTATATACATGTATATCCATAAATAGTGTTTTATTTATATTCCTATTACTAATGTCATTCCAAGAATATATTGACCATCTGTGGAAGGAATACGACGGCATGCACTGATTGATCACAGATTTATCTATGACAAATTAGATATATAGTCTGGTAATAATGTCGATTTACGAATGTAAAAGAGATACGAGGTTCAATGTAGTTCGACTATTAGAGTAAGACGTTGACTCGCCAACCTGGAGGTCCCGCGTTCGATCTCTGTGTTGACCGAGAACATTCATCGGGATTGTCTGGCGTGACCAGGGGCGGATCCGGGGGGGGGGGGGGCAGCTACATAATTTTTTGTGAGAAAAGTTTTTCAGTCGTGTGCTTTATCCTTTATCGTCAGATGTGGGACAGGATAGGCACTCAAAGCACGAGATAATGATATAGACATTATGTGATATCACAATTAATGCTTTGCATCCATCAAATTGAATCACAATGTCAATGTATTAATTCATAATAAAAATTGACGTCAAATGAGGTTTTGAATTTCTCTGTTTAAAAAGCTCAATGTGTATGTATATACGCCAAAATGACGATAGAGGCAAAGCGGAAGGGGGGGGGGGGGGTACATTGTCCCAGGAACGTGGAAAACCCCCTCCTGCAAAAATTCCTGGATCCGTCCCTGGTGCCCCCCACCCCACACACAGAACTGGCATGCACATAAAAGAACCCTTGGCGGTTGGAATTCAATATAAGAGAAGGCGTTAGCGCCGCTGTCCGGGAAAAATTAACCTCCTAGCACACTGTATACCCGTCTCCATTAGCCCAGCCGAAGCGAAGAAGAGCAGTAGGACGTTAAACCCCATTTTATTTCGTTCAACTATTAGAAAGGTTTGACTATTGCCTTGTCTTTGTGGCTTCACTTTTGATGAACCAAGATGAAGTTCTCTCCCTTTACCTAGCTGGTCAAATACTGAAAGAAGACGTAACCACAAAATTGTCAGGTATCCTCTTACAGTCCCATATAACAACTTTTGGTCTTCGAAGGAATTATTAGTGAGCAGAAATTCGGCCGTGTATCTGTTATCACTCGTCACACCAGTCAGTTATATAGAGAGATGACTCGTGTTTTCCTTTGGCGTTCGTCACTTCCGATTCAGGAAACCTTTATTACTCAGCTATCGTAGCAATGATCTCTGTGTTAAAATTATATTTGGAATGTGTTTAACCAGCTCTATCACATATGTGATAATGACTGGCACCAATATTGTCCTTTAAAGCGTGGGCTGAATGATAGCTGCAAGTAGCCACCAAATTAGTTCTAATAAATACACTGTACCCAAAACTAATATATCAAATGTTGCGGTAGAGTTTAACAAGGGGGGCAACATTTTTTTCACAGTTACGGTAAGGCAATTAGGGGCAGGGAGTTATCTATATGGGGTATACATGTTGGCCTTCCGATATACAAATTGCATTTTGCCTGAGTGTGACGGTCAATGACCAGAATATGGCGCATTTTCACTATTGATGCAAGGCTGTATACACAAGCTTTTAAAACAATACGGTTTCTCGAGTTTTAACTACTTAAAACTACACAACGTGAAATCCAAAGTGGAGTATACATATGAAAGTCAAGGGAATCGAAGTCCATATAGAATAAGGCCCGAAACTAAGACAATACTGCCACCGTGTATTTAGTGTCGCAATAGTGACACGGATAGTCTAACATACATGTAGTTGATTTATAAGAAATACAACACCAAATCAAAAATTTATACTAATAATGATGCGTTGGGTTTGTTTTTTTTAAACAATATTTTTATTCAGATTTGTATCTGAATAGGGATTGGGGAACAGGCATAGCCTATATTAAACCCCTCTCCCGGTTGGGTTCCTAATGCAACTGGAAAATCATGGTTGCAGTGAGTGAAAAAATTACGCCAAATCGAAAATAATTTTCCGCCGACCCACGAAGATCTCGAACGCGCTAATTAAATGCCCCCTAGTTTCGAAAGAGAACTTATTTAAATTTCATTCTCTATTTAAGACATTTGATTGTAACACCATTCTTCTCAATGGGGCGGGGGTTAGGCGGTCGTGTGGTCTAACACGCACGTTTTAGATCATATGGTCTGGCATTGAGTCAAATGACGTGGTTTCGATTACGATAAGGAATAAGGTCGCTGGCCTTCCGAGTCCTCCGGTTTCCTCCCACTGATTAATACCCCTATTCGATAGCGAACCCCCCCCCCCCTCTCTCTCACGCTCTTTCTCGCTCTCTCTCTCTCTCTCTCTCTCTCAAAGAAATAAACATTAGTAGAAAGCAATTGTAACAGGTTTTGTTGATACATTGGTAGAAAGCAACTTTAACAGGTTTTGATGTTCGTTATCTTTTAAAAAAAACCAAAACCCTAACAAAAAACCCCCCCAAAAGAGACCAAAAAGTCGACGTGGGAATAACACAATGTGTTATTTTAAATGTAAGAATCACTGAATAGTTTGATCACACAAATGAACAGGAATGACAATGTGGTACACACATCCCACAGCTTCAACAAGTCTTTGAAGATGGAAAGTTATCTGAATTTCTAGTATGTTAAT